TTGCCTGAGCCCACAGGTTCGAGACCCGCCTGGGCAGGCGAGACCTCATCTCTACAGTAAAATCAAAAAATCAGCCAGGCGTGGTAGCACATGCCTGTAATTCCGGCTACTCGGAAGGCTGAGGCGGAAGGATCGCCGGAGCCCAGCAGGTCGAGGCCGTGGTGTCCGGGAGCGGCCACTGCACTCCAGTCTGGGTGAAAGAGTGAGACTCCAACTCAAATATATATATATATATATATATACATGGATAAATAAATTGTTCCTACAAAGGCCGAAGCTGTTAAAGACTGGCACTGTGAAATGTAATTCTGACATAGACCTCCTGGGCACACTTGGTTTGGGAGTCCTCAATTTCCCATGCAACTCATCAACGTAATGCATCAAATAAACATAATCATTTCCAGCACTTCTCTTTTTAGTAGGAAGAAGAATAAATCTTGTCATATTGCAGGGACCCCCTTGGGAAATGTCAAGTACAGTTTAGGCAGAAAGATGTCCTGAAAGTTTTATTTTACTGTATTAAATTTTGCATTTAGGATTCAATTTGGGGAAGGCAAAAATCAAAAGTTGTCAGGAGATTTGAACACTTAAGTTAGGTTCAAGGGTGCCTGAAATTTTATTGGCTACTTATTAATTAAAAATGAAAGTATGCCGGGCTCGGTTGCTCAGCCTGTAATCCCAGCGCTCTGGGAGGCTGAGATGAGTGGATTGCCTAAGACCGTGGGTTCGAGACTCACTTAGGCAACTTGGGGAGACCTCATCTCTGCAATAAAAAAAAAAACAAAATTAGCCGGGCGTGGTAGCGCATGCCTGTAGTTCCAGCTACTTGGAAGGCTGAGGCGGAAGGATCACCAGAGCCCAGCAGGTCAAGGCTGCAGTGGCCGGGAGCAGCCACTGCACTCCAGTCTGGGTGACAGAGTGAGACTCCAACTCAAAAAAAAAAAAAATTGAAAGTATTCTGGGAGTATACCTGGAGGAACTCAAATCACTCCATAAAAAAAACATACCCACATGTGCACGTTTATTGCAGCATTTACACAATAGCAAAAACATGGAACAACCATGCTGGCCATTGAAAGAAGACTGGATAAAGGTTTTTTTAAAAAATGCAGTACATATACATGATGGAATATGATGCAGTCACAAAGAAGGACACATTATGAACGTCACAGCAACTTGGTTGGACTTAGAATCTATAACACTGAATGATCGTTCACAGGAACAAAGAACTGAGTCTCACACGTTCTCACTCATAAGCAGACCTTGAACAATTATCCCAATACTAAATGAAAGGGATTGGCAGTAGTGGAAAACAACTGGGGGAAGGGGGGTATGACACATCATCAACAAGGGTACCTGCATAATGAACATTTGTGGACCTAACCCTGAATTATACCCCCATCTTTAAAATAAAAAATTAAAAAAAAAAAAGAAAATCTAAATTCTACTAAGGAAATTATATATATAATATTATGCATAATATTATGATGCAATTCAATATCCATTCATGATAAAACAAAACAAAACTCGATGAAAACCAGGACAGAAGGAAATTCCCTCAATTGGATAAAGGCAACTATGAAAAACTCTTATCATTTTTTAAAGTAAATGAGTGAAGTGAGACAAAGATGCTCACTTCAGCACTTATATTCAAGACTGTTCTCGAGGTTATCACCAATTCAACAAGGTGAGAAAAATAAATGAATGGCATAAAGTTCAGAAAGGACCAAGTAAAACCGATCCTTATCTGCATATGATGTGAAATGAGAGAAAATCCTAGAGAATCTGTAAAACAAAATTAAAACCTAGTAAGTGACGTTAGCAAAGATACAATGTTAATATATAAAAAGGAATAGGTATGAGCAGCAAACAATTGAAAAATACTCCATCTATAACTGTCAAAAAGCATAAAATACTTAGAAATAAATCACAAAAAACATTCAAGAACCCCAAGATGAAAAAATAAAAATCATTGAAATCAAGAGGATCTCAATAAACAGAAATACCGTATTTATGAATTGGATAACTCTATATTGTTAAAATGACAATTCCCCAAATTGATCTATAGTCAGTATAGTTGCAATAAAAAATCTCAGCAGTTTTTCTTTGTAGAAATTGACAAGCAGATTCTAAAATGCAAATATAAATGCACATCAATTAAAATAAACAAAGCAATTTTCTTTTCTTTTCTTTTCCTTTTTTTTTTTTTTTTGAGTTGGAATCTCACTCTGTCGGCCAGGCTGGAGTGCAGTGACACACTCACCATCACCCCAGCATTAACCTGCGAGGCTCAGGCTATCCTGTGTCAGTCTCCCAAGAAGCCAGAACTACAGGTGTGCGCTACCACGCACAGCTAATTTTTTGATTTATTGTAGAGATGAGGTCTCACCAAGTTACCCAGGCTGTTCTAGAACCCATGTTCTCAGGCAATCCTCTCACCTCAGAACAATTTTCATAAGGAAAGTCAAAGTTGGAAAATTCACTCTGTCTGATTTCAATACTTACTATAAAGCAACATTAATAAACACAGGTTGATATTGTGAAAAGATATAAAACAAGAGCTAGAAAAGAGCATTCAGAAATATACCCACACATATACGGTCAACTGATTTTCAAAAAAGGTGCCTAGGAAATTCAATTATGAAAGAAAGGCTTTTGAGTCAATGCGTCTAGATAAATAGGCATCTATGTGGAAAAATTCACATCTACTCCCAGCCTCACACCATCTACAAATATTATCTTCCAATGTATCAGAGACCTAAATGTAAACACTAAAACCATAATAGTTTTAGAAGAAAACAGGAGAATAACCGCAAGATGAGCCTGCAATATCAGCTTGAAGGGGCTCCTGCTGAAACAGCTAGACATAAAATAAATAAGGACAGCAATGGGCTACATTCCACCCAATAAAACTGGAATCTGTAGTAATAATTTTTAAAATAAAAAATAGATGGAAGAGAAGAGAGGTGCTTCCTTACAAGAAGATGTAGACTGATAAACATGGAATGCGTGATCAGAGTCAGAAATTATTACTGCAAGTCTCAAGGCATCTCTCACATTACTCATTAGTTGCAAAGAAAACAAAATCAGCATTATACAGTGCAGAGACCAGACAATAATTTAACCAGGCAATCACAATTACTATTACCTGTAAGAGGCAAGTGGGCACTGTGGCCCACATGTTATGTGCTAGCCTGAGAAGAAGTATTGTGGCTAGGGGTGGGTCATTTGTGTTGATCTGAAGAAACATAAGACAAACCCAAACAGGAATATTTCTCAAAAGTGTCAACACTGTGAAAGACAAAGAAAAGCTAAGGAATAGCTCCAGATTGAAGGGGACTAAAAAGACACATCAACATGCAGTACATGTACGGAACCTGTCTTAGATGGGGAGAAAATGCCACAAAGGACATTATTGGGACAATTGACAAAACTGAAGTTAGGCTGCGGATTAAAACTGAAAGCACTGAAATTGATATTTGAACTGTGGCTATATAAGATAATATTCTTTTCCTTAGGAAATGCACAGAGGCAAAGGGACATGATGTATCCAACTTATACTCAAATGCTTCAGAAAATAAATAACATGTATGTTTTGGAGAGAATAAAAAAGCCAGTATGGCAAAATGTTAAAAATGTTACCAAAAACGGCCGGCATGGTGGCTCATGCCTGAAATTCCAGTACTTTGGGAAGCTGAGGCGGGAGGATTGCTTGAACCCAGGAGCTGGAAACCAGCCTAGGCAACATGATGAGAACCTGTCTCTACAAAACATCAAAAAATTAGGCAGGCATGATGGTGCACAACTATAGACCCAGCTAATTGGGAGGCTGAGGCAGAAGGATTGCCTGAGCCCAGGAAGTAGAGGTTGCAGTGAGCCATGACAGCATCACTGTACTCCAGCTTGGGTAATAGAGTGAGACCCTGACTCAAAAGAAAAAAAGCTACTGCCAACAACAACAAAAAAATCAGTTTGTTTGGGTAAAAGATACACAGGAGAAAACTACTTTTCTTGCAACTTTTCCACAAGTGGGAATTTATTTCAAAATAAATAGTTAAGGCTGGGATCAGTGGCTCAGCCTGTAATCCCAGCACTTTGGGAAGCAGATGTGAGTAGATTGCCTGAGCCCACGAGATTGAGACCAGTCTGGGCAACTTGGTGAGACCTTGTCTCTACAATTAAAAAAAAAAAAAAAAAGTCAGGCATGGTAGTGCATGCCTGTAGTTCCGGCTATTTGGAAGGCTGAGGCAGAAGGATCGCTGGAGCCCAGCAGGTTGACGCTGGGGTGGCTGTGAGTGTGCCACTGCACTCCAGGCTGGATGACGGAGTGAGACTCCCAACTCGAAAAAAAAAAAACGTAGTGGAGGAAATAATGGAAGAATGCTACACCTGGGGTCAGGTCGTTGAGTCTTATTTTCTATGGACATCTGTGCAGTATAAATCACTATCTCTCTGATTCTACTCTTCCCTCGCATACCTGGTCAGGGTCTGCACTGTGAATTGCACAGGGTCATTATGGGGTGGGAAAAGATGACATGACAATGATATCAGACCTGGGAAATGACACACAACTGTATAATGAGCTGGGAAGTAGGAGGTGAGAGTGTCACAAATCCAAGTTGTAATAGTAGAAAAAAATCATTATGCAGTAATCTTCTCTGCTGCCAGCTCATTACTGGAAATGCAGTCGTGAGAGAGAAGCAGATGCACACTGCCCCACTATTACTGCTCGGTCACTGCCTGAAGCTTGTCCATGACCAGCCACCAGCATCATGGTGGCTACCAGCAGCAGCTGGAAGTATTTCCATAGGGCAAGTGGGACAGAGGACATGCTGCGGATACAGAGTTCTTTGAGAGTAACTTAAATGGAAAATAGGCAAGATAGAAGATAACTACACTAGACTCAAACCCCCCTTAAACCACGATGTGGAAGAAAAACCATTGTGGCAATTTCAAAAAAGAATTTGAAACACAGCGGGTTCAAAAGGACCACGTCTTACCGATTTGTGATGATGTCATCCCAGATGTTCATTGGGTCCATTTTAGCATCTGGATATCTGTTTGTCCAGGTTTTTAGAAGTCTTTTCAAGGGAACCTGAGATGACAAATTGCCTAAAAATAATATTAGATAGATGATCATAGCCATAGCTCAATGATAAGACCAACTGACAATGCGAGATCATCAGTAGTAAATAGAAATTTAGCTCATATTTCTTGTCCAAATTTTTTAAAAAATAATTTTATTATTTAGTTTACAAAAGGAATACAAAGTTATCACACTAAATTTAATATATGCTGACATTTAAACTCAAAAGGATATAAAGATGGAGTAATAAACATACACACTTCTTTTAAATTTACTGAGTCATCAGTCCTTCAGCTGTAATTCCAAAACCTAAAAAGCACTGATAGCTGAAAACATTTTGATAGAGCTGCAACAAATTTTCTTGGTGGTAAAATCAGATTTATTTTTTTTTTTTGAGTTGGCATCTCACTCTGTCACCTGAGGCTGGAGTGCAGTGACACACTCACGCCCACTCCAGCGATAACCTGCTCCCCCGGCGTTCCTTCCGCCTCAGCCTTCCAAGTAGCTGGAACTACAGGTGTACGTTAACATGCCTAGATAATTTTTTGTTTTATTGTAGAGACGGGGGTCTAACCGTTGCCCGGGCTGGTCTCAAACCCGTGGGCTCAGGCAATCCTCTCGCCTCAGCCTCCCAAAGTGCTGGAATTACAGCCTTGAGCCTTCACACCTGGCCAAAATCAGATCTTAATTGGCATAGGGACACTTATGTTTTCTGTTTATGCTATTAATGTGAATTCTCACAACTTCAGCCAGAGCAGCAACATTGAGTTAATTATGGAATGCTGCCCCAGACTCCAGTGTGCACAGGTTACATTTCTAATATCTAAAACAATCTGGCCTCAAGGTTCTCAGAAAAGGGATTCATAATCATCCTCATAAAACTGAAATTTCACTTTGTTAATGTTTAAAGCTTCAGTTTTCTCTATTGGTGGAAAGCAGTGGTTAGGAACACGAGTTTAGATGAGACAGACCTGGGCTCAAAATTTGGATCTTTCACTTATTAGCTTAGGCAAGTCATTTAATGTCTCTAAGCCTCTATAAAATGGCGGAAAACAGTCTACATCTAACAGGCTGTAAAAAAAACAAGTAATATCAATGTAGCCAAGTAATATCAATGAAGAGATTAAAACAGCTCCTGGAAAACAGAAAGCATTTAAGAAACAATACATCGTAATAATGTACTTGAAAAATAATTTTCTAAATTTAAAACAGAGAACAATTAAACACAAATACCAGTTTTTATTAGTATTCTGAAAAGTATCTTTCATAACTATTTTTCATTATTTAGGAAAAAACTGATATTCAGATTTACAACTAAAACCTTTCACTTTTTTTTTTTTTTTTTGAGTTGGAGTCTCACTTTGTTAGCCAGACTGGAGTGCAGTGGCATGCTCATGGCCACCACAGCTCTGACCTCTGGTCTCAGGTGATCCTTCCTTCTCATCCTTCAAAGTAGCTGGAACCACAGGCATGCACCACCACACCCAGCTACTTTTTTGATTTATTGTGGAGATTGATTGTTTAATGTATTGCCTTGCCAAGTTGCCCAGGCTGGTCTCAAATCCCTGGGCTCAGGCAATCCTCTCTCCTCTACCTCCCAAAGTGCTGGGATTACAGGCGTGAGCCACTTCACCTGGCAGACGTGTTACTTTTGCAAAGATGTATTCTTTCTCTTAGATGGCCTCCCACAGGCACTGGGACTAAAGCCATTCATTAGCAGCACAAAGGCCTTCCTGCTCCACACACGGCCACCCACAACCTCCCTGTCCTCTCCTCCGGCCTGGGTACCTTGTATTCAGTCACAATATCCTAGCACCTGAGAAGCACCACAGTCTTCTGTCAGGCAAGGCTCTGCAAACCCCTGCCTCTTCCACACTTGGCAGCCCTTCGGTCCTGAAAGGCTTTACCACCCTCAATCCCGCTGCACACAAGTCCTCTGGAGTCACCCCACTGCTCTGAAAGCCTCATCAAGCTAGGCCTAGAACAGTGCCTGATCATTTAAAACATTTATCTCAATGATACATATTTGTACAAATTCAATGCAGTTTTTAACCCGTGCATTTAAAAAACATGTACTTTCAATAAGCAAAAAACTTAAAGCTAAAATTCTTCTATATTTAGAAATAAGAAAACTAATGGCAAGATAAAATAATTACCTTGTTTGCTTATAAAGCTGATGAACTCCTGAATTTCTGTTAAAGCTTGTAGAGACTGCAATTTGGTAAGTCTACTTCTATGCAAAAGGACATCAATACTAGAATAATTCTTTTAAAAAAAAAACGCATTTATAAGTCTTGTTACAAGTCACATCACAACTTTAAATTTTTACTGCAGTTCTCTAAAACATGAAATATAGCAACTACTCTCTATATATGCCAATTACCCAATGTGTCTCAGAGTGGTTAATAACTAGGTCACAGAAACAATTAACAAATGGTTTAAAATTAAAATAGAATTTTTAGGGTTTCAACCAAATTTTGGTTCAACAAAATCAATAAAATCAATATTATCAGGCTATCACTGCCAGCATTTGCCATCGCTTTTTAAAAATCCCAACATCTTGAAATATAAAACTGAAAACTACAGAAGCGAACTTTCTTCTTTGATAAACTTCTTCTTGAATGTACAATCAATTTCAAAACAGTCAAATAAAAATGAAAGCAATGAATGATTATGTTTCTTTTCTTTTTCTTTTGAGTCAGAGTCTCATTTGTTGCAGTCTGGAGTGCAGTGGCACACTCACGGCTACCACAGACTTGACCTGATGGGCTCAGGAGATCCTTCTGCCTCAGCCTTCTAAGTAGCTGGAACTATACAGGTATGCACTACCACACCTGGCTTACATATATATTTTTTTTTATTTATGAGGTCTCACCAAGTTGCCCAGGGTGGTCTCAAACCCCTGAGCTCAGGCAATCCTTTTGCCTCGGCCTCCCAAAATGCTAGGATTACCGGCTTGAGTCACCTTGCCTGGCCAATGATTATGTTTCTATGCTAAATGTTACTAACATATGCTAAATGTTGTTAACTGAGACACTGACTAACAATCAAACAAATAACTATCAGAAGATTCTTAGAAAAGCGAAAAGGAAAGAAGGAACAGCAGGAAATAAAGGGAAGGCCAGGCCTAGTGGCCCTTTGCCTGCTATCCCAGCATTTTGGGAGGCTGAAGCAGGAGGATGGCTTAAGTCCAGGGGTTTAGGACTGCGGTGAGCTATGCCACTGCATTCCAGCCTGGGCAACAGAGCAAGATCTTGTCTTAGAAAAATCAAAAAATAGTAAAAAAAAGAAAATGGAACATCAGTCCATGTTCTCTACAAAGCAACCAAAGTTCTGTTCTACTTCTCCAACTAGAAAAGTCTACTCTCAAGTTTTCTTTAACAGTATGAGAAAGACAAGAACTCAAGGAAAAAACAAAACATGCAACATTTAAACACAAAACAAAAAAATTTAAAAAGGCATTAAGGTAAGGACAGAGCAAAGAACAATATTAGAAGAAACTAAAAAAATAGAAGAAGAAAATGAGTGGTATGAAAAAAACTTGAAAACTTTTGGTTGTTGATTTTTTTCTTGAGTTTACTGACTTCTAAAAAATACAAAGATGGTATATTTTAGGCGATTCTGTCTGTCTTACCTGCATAAACATCTGAATGCCACTGTCAATGTAGTATTTGGCTCTGTCAACATCATCCTGCAAGAGGTACAGCAGACTCAGCTCCTGGTTGTAATGAAGCTCCAGGAGAGCCTTCTGGAGCTCCTCGTGCATGGCCTCATCAACAAACGTCAGCAGGGACTGGTCAGCCTCTCCTTGGAGCAGCAACTTCAGTTTGCTGCGGATCACGTATGGCAGGTATGTCTCCTAAGGACCATCAACATCTACTTGTAACTTCAGAAAGCCCATCCAAGTATGCCTAATGATTTTATTTCTATAATATTCTTTGCTTAAAAAAATCCCTTTTTTTTGGAGTTGAAATCTCACTCTGTCCCCCAGGCTAGAGTGCTACTGCAGCCTCAACCTGCTGGGCTCAGGCAATCCTTCCACTTCGGCCTTCCAAGTAGCTGGAACTATAGGTATGCACCAGCGTGCCCAGCTACATTTCTTTTTTTAATTGTAGAGGCGAGGATCTTGCCAAGTTGCCCAGGCTGGTCTTGAACCCCTGGGCTCAGACAATTCTCTCACCTCAACCTCCCAAAGTGTTGCAATTACAGGCGTGAGCCACCATGCCCAGCCCTTTGAGAAAATTTATAAGTCAAGATTTTCAGCCAAGGTGATGCCATCTTGTGTTTCAAACCTAAAACTACAATTTTAAAAACAAGTTCATCTAAAACAGCATTGTTTTGTAACCACAGAATATAAGAACTTGTTCCACAGAAAATGGAGACTACTTTTAGCTGGAAGATGACTTGGATGTTATACACAAGCTGAGGAATTTACAAGCGGTCAAAACGGTGTAGTGTGAAGAGACCAGGAGAGCCATCTGCCCCAGCACTGGGTGGCATGGGTGCTGCTGGGAATCCGGAACAACTTCTTGGGATATGAGAGACAACAGGAAACATTCTTTCGTGTGTTCACATCAGGAATGCTAATATTTGGTCTAAAACTTATCTCATTTATTTTGAAAGGGTCAGCTACAAATGATAAGAGATTCAACAGTGCTACAGAGTTTGGAGGGAGGGGAAGAGGTTACGTAAATATCCGAACACTTCACAACTACCACGTTTTTGAAAAGTTTTAAACAATTTTGTTAATTAGAAAATACCCGACCACTTAAAATATTTATTGTAATGCATTAAAAATAATTCTACCCACCTGATAAAACGGTTTACTCCACATTTTATTCAGGTCTGGTGGGTCCTCCCTGTCTACAGCAGCTGTAGAACAATAAGCGAGTGATTTCCATTCAGCGAGGTGGTTGTAGCAGTCAAGGGATGCAAGTTCCCAAAAATCCTTTTCTGCTTTTGTGGGCGCACCATCCACCCACTCTTGTTTATTGAGAGCCTGGCAGAGAAGGGTTAACATGATTATTTTACAAAGTTGGAAAGAATATCGATGCAAAGAAAAAGGTGGTGTAACAATCACACTAAAGACGATCATTTTCAGCTTTATGACAAAGGGGGAGAGAAAAGGGAAAATATTCAGTAACACTGCAAGAGAAACAAAGCAGTAACAAATGAATAAAAACTCTAACCAGAAGGAAGCCATTTCTCTGAGAAACTTACCAATGAAATCAATTAGTAAGACTGATGACCTTTAATGGCTCATAATTTGATTTAAATCAATAGTGTGGGTTTACTTAACATTTGCAGAAAACCACAGAGAATTTTAAAACCTGAATTGCTTGCTCATTCAGGAGTCTCACAGGTCACAGACCCTGAATTTCAACACCTATGCTTAGATGGTCACTGGCAACTCAAAACACAAAATGTACATAATTGAATCTACAGTCAGCTTCTAAAATTTTTCTTTACTTATTTACAAATTTGTTACCAATGGAAAGAAAATCCACTCAAATACAAATCGTATAATATATATCACACATAGAAATAACATTGTACTAGTTGCTTTTTGGTTTTTTTTGAGCTGGAGTCTCACTCCAGTTCTCAGGCTGGAGTGCAGTGGCATGATCACAGCCAACCCAGTGTCAATCTGTTGGACTCTGGCGACCCTTCCGGCTCAGCCTTCCAAGTAGCCGGAACTACAGGTGCATGCTACCATGCCCGGCTAATTTTTTATTTATTGTAAAGATGAGGTCTCGCCAAGTTGCCCAGGCGGGTCGCGAACCCGTGGGCTCAGGCAATCTACTCACCTTGGATTGCCCAAGTGCTGGGATCACAGGCTGAGCCACTGAGCTTGGTCACATGGTACCATTTTATGGCATGGTAGGTCCTCACTTATCATCAAGAGGTTCTTGGAAACTGTGTCTCTAAGCAAACCAGGTGTAACGTAGCCAATTTTTTCCCTCACCAACGTTATAATGAAAAGACACTGAAGCAAAGAGTGGTATTCAAAGACCTGTTGTAGCTTGTTTTGCTAGAGATCAATTTTACCTCATTATACTGCTTGGCAGCTTCAGAATAATCACTTCTGGCTTCTGCTAATAACGCATTCTGAGTGATTTGCTTTGTTCCTATCTCACTGCTAAAAATACCACGGAGGACATCATATTCTCCAATTGATCTGTACAGCCTATAAAAAAACAAAAAGAGATCCAAATCAATGAACACATCATTGTAAAATAATTGTTTTCTAGTGAAATGATACTAAATTAAGATGGCACACATTACATTAACTAGAGAAGATATTCATGTTATTTTTATTTTGCTAAAAATATAAAATTCAAAAAAACTTTAAAGTTAGTTGGGCCTTACTATTTTTTATTCAGACAGAAATTATTCTAATGTGCATTCAATGTGAAACCTGAAAAAATTCACAATGTATAAATCATTCCATTAAATAAGCTGCTTCAGTATTAATCCATTACAATATCTACAGGTAACTCATCTGGAATCCTTATCTAGCCCTAAAAATCCCAGAAGCAAGTAAATAAATAATAAAATAAAAACAATCCTGACTCTACCAATGCCACGTTTAATTCATGTTCTATGAACCATCTCAATTCCGTTTACGAGTAATTTCCTTGCAGCCTTAATATTTGCTAGTTACCTCTGTACCTTAATGAAACTCTCACTTGAGCCTATCGACCAAAGTCCCCTATGCACAATGCTCTTCACTCAGTGGTCATCAGGTTTGCGATCTTTCTCCAGGAAACTTCTTTTCCACCTTCACGGCTCAACCCAATGTCATCTCTTCCTAAATCCGCAGTCACCTGACCAGCCAGCCAAGGGCTACTTCCTTCTTGGTTCTCTGGCTATTCAGTTCCCTTCTTGGGTACTAGAGTTCTTATATTGACATCAAACGTACTCTGCAAGCTCTCTCTCTGACCCTACTGATTTTGAACTTAGATCAAAATCTAACAGATGTGGTTCTCTTTGCTTTGTTGATAGAGGATTAAAGATAATATATCAGAGGAAAAGGTGGGTAGGTCGGTGGTAGAAGAGCAGCTCACAGCCTCACAGTTAAGGAGTCCATGAACTCAGAAAAAAAGATATCACCTTACATACACCTGACATTGGTCACCAGGTCCCTGGATTGAATACACCATAACATAGTCAGAACAGTGGCCGTGACATATTAAGGAAAGGCTAGATTATGTTCACAATACTTTGCAAGGAATGCAAAAATATCACATACAAAAGCATGAGGATATATTTAATAAAGGTAGGAAAAAATGTGGAAGGCTTAGGACCTTAATAGTTGCATGCTCCATTTACTCAAGCAAATACATATTATTTGGACTTCTCACTCTTTGAAAATACTAAACATGTAAGATGTTACCTAATGTCCCTTTACACATCTGAAGCAATGAGATGTGCAAACTCGGGATAAAATCAGTATCGCCCAGAGGCCCTCTCTGAATTGCACAGGCATTTTACCTCAGTACTCTGCCTCTCCTGGTACTCACCGTCTCCTACTTTGTACTATAGTCAGTTATATGTAAAGTACATACATTTCCTACTGGATTGTTAGTTTTGTGAGTCTGTGATCAATGTCTAATCCATTTTCACATCTCCTTGACATGTGGTACAGTGCCTTACACATTCAGTGTTAGGGAAGAAAGACATGAATTAACAACAAAACAGCAGAAAGCACAAGGATTCCCACCCTTGCCTTTATTATCTTAAAAAAAAAAAAAGAAAGAAAGAAATAGAACCTAAAGCCCTAAAAATAAGTATTACAAAACAGAAATTCAAATTAGATTTCAATCCTAATCTAACAGCCTCCTTAGAAGTAGGTACTGTCTAATTTCATATGAAAAAGCCACTAGTAAGGGAAGAAACAGACACAATGCAAAATGGCACAAGTACAATTTGGGAATTTGTTTTTCCCAAATAAACAAAGTAATTCGATTAAACTGTTTCTGAAAGTTTGAGTTCTGCTTAAAATAATCATCCTCTACTCGGTTTAGCAAAGCAGAGAAACACAAAACACTTGTCATTCTAACTTACAGCCACTTTTAGGAAACTAAACTTGGAAGACAACACTGAGTGCAAAAGATTGTATAATGAAAGACACCAACAGGTTTAATCCACGTTCTCCTTCCTAGAGCAAGGCATTCTTTGCCGTGGCAACCATTCTCGACTCCTAGAATGGTACTCAGCCTGAAAGATGCTAAAAAGTATTTCTTTTACAGCAAGGCTCCGACCAACTTTACGGAGTCACTTTCTGCCAAAACAAAGCCAGGTTCTTCCTGCGCTACGCTGGTCAACTCCACAAAGCTCCCTCGAGAACGCCCAAACCTGCTCTTACTTGGCCAGCTCCACCCATCGGACGACGTCGGGAGGGAGGCAGGGCTTCGCTCGGACGCGCTTGGCAGGGGGCGCGGCGGGCGCCAGGCGGAGCAGGGCCTCCTCCAGCAGGCGGACCCCCACGGGCTGCTGCAGGCTGGCGAGGCAGCTGGTGCCCACCGTGGGGGCGTCGAGGCTCAGCAAGGCTGCGTGCTGGCAGCTGACGTCCTGTGAAGCCAGACAAGCGCAACTATTGAGAGCCAGTGGCACCCAGACCGTGTCTTCACAAAGGCGTGATTAGCCTTTCTAAGCACGAAAGTTCTGATGTGAAGTGGTGATATCACCATAGCTTTTTCTGAGTGATTCTATGAACGAATTTCTCCTCAATACTCAACTTGCTTAGCAGACGAAACGACCTTTTAATTTTAAACACCCAATCCATGGATTAAGTTAAAGCAAGAAAAGACAAGTAAAATTTGAAAATAAAGAGAGAGACATACACGAGGGCAGGGAGGACACAAAAACACTGGAAATTGTTTATAAAAAATCGTGTATTTATTCTTACATGTTTAAACTTCAGTCACCCACCAAACACTCTCCATCTGATGCAACACGCCTGTCAAGATGTTTTTCCCACGGCTCACAGCAGTTTCTGAACTCCTCAGTTGGGATGCCTTTGAGTGCTTTTGCCATTTTTTGCTCTACCTTTTCCACACTGGCAAAGTGCTTTCCTCTGAGAACTTTTTTCATCCGGGGAAACAAAAAAAGTTGCTCGAGGTGTGAATGGGAGAATGGGGCATGGGAATGATGCTGTTTGGGGTCAAAAATTGCTGAACATTCAGTGTGGTGTAGGCAGGTATGTTGTCACAGTGGAAGAACCAGTCACCTGTTTGCAACAACTTGGGACGTTTCTTCTGCAAATCATGATGCAACCTTCTTAAAACTTCCAGCTAAAACTTTAGTTGACCATTTGACCCAGAGAAACAAATTCCAAGTGTACAAAACAAGGGGCCTGCCTTCCAAAAGGCAATTACAGTTTTTGGGGGGACCCCTCTCATCCTCATCACTACCCTCTGCTGCTGTAATACTTCTCTATTACTCAAGTACTATGACACTAATGTTCTGTTCTTTATCTGTCTGTGGACTGCCTGTCACCTGTCACCCATCTAAAGTGTAAGCTCCAAGAAGACAGGATTTTTGCCTTTATGTTTTTGCCTTTTTTGTCACTGTGACCCCCTCACTTAGAACAAAGCCAAGCATGAGCTCAATCAACACCTCTTGACTGCAGGAGGCAGGAAAGAATTTGGTGAATACTACATAAGGGAAAAACAACTAAACAAATGTACAGTTTAATCAAACACTAAAGGGACTAGCTTATTACAAAATAAAACATCTTACAATAGCTTTCATTACTGGTTATTCTGTCATATTATCAGTTTTGTGGGGAATAAATTACATCTACCTATTTAGGAAGAGGAATCCAAATAGTACACCCTCTCTTAAACACTTTGTTACTCTCAAGCGCTCCCACTTGGGAAGCACAGTGATGAGGCTATGTGAAGCCAAAGCAGACAATGCATATGTTATGAAGCATATGCAGACTCTTACCTGGATACAAGACACAAAAGGTGGGAAGAAGAGGAAAGTGGCATTAAGAAAATGACTGAAGTCTTGCAGCAACTTTTGAGTGATCATGTCTTTTTCAGACATTGTCTTAAATTTATCCATCTCTTTCAAAATTCCAGAAAACAAACTGCTAAAGAGCTGTTTTGCAATTATTGGGTCCCTCTGTAAGAAATTCAGAACAAAGACAAATTAGAATCTCAAGTGAAAATGTTATAGTTCGTCAATACTATCAGAACTTTATTTGAAAATATAAACTGCTCCAAACACATCTATTATATACCGCAATTCTATTTAGAAAGGTTTATCAGACATTAACAATAGGAGTACTTGAAATTTAATCAAATGTATCTGTCTGATCTATGTTATAGGAGCATGGACCTTTGACCTAGAGAGATGAATTTGAAAGCTGGCTTAATCAATATGCAACCACATAGCTTCTCTCCTGAGTTAAGTCTAGGTCTCCAATTCCTCATCTTTTTTTTTTTTTGAGTTGGAGCCTCACGCTGTCGCCCAGGCTGGAGTGCAGCGGCATGCTCCTGGCCACCACAGCCTTGACCTGCTGGGCTCAGGCAATCCTTTCACCTCAGCCTTCCAAGTAGCTGGAACTACAGGGACACGCCATCACGCCTGGCTAATTTTTTGATTTATTGTAGAGATGAGGTCTCGCCAAGTTGCCCAGGCGGGTCTCAAACCCATGGGGTCAGGCAATCCAAAGTGCTGGGATTACAGGCTGAGCCACCATGCCCGCCCCTATGCCTCATCTTTAAAACAGGGCTACCAGAATACATCTCAGGGGGGCGGTGGTGAAGATTAGTCCAGAGGGTGCATGGCCAGTGCTTGGTAAGATTTTGGAAAAAGATTAGTTCTTAGGTATTATCATCACACCAGTATCATGGTAAAGCTTAAGATAACTGATGCACTCAAATAAAATGCCAACTGATGCTCAGTTTCACCATCCTGACCATTTGAACTGTTAAAACCACCAATGCCATGTCTGAGTTGCAGCTCCATCAAACAGCATGCTGTGCTACCAGACGGTTTACAGCTTTCACCCTACACACTCCACAGCCACGGGAACACCACCCTTTATTACCGTGTATGATATTAGCACCAAGAATAGTTCCTGGCATATAGCCTCTGCATTTGCTAAATGAAGGCATGCATGCATAACTAAGTGAAGTCTAAAAATTACTTTGTTTTAGAAAAGTGCCATCTAAGTAAAACGTGCAAAGTTTATTATTGTTTTAAGAAATAGATTTGTCTTGTTTTAAACTGTTCTCGTGGTTACTGCATAAAATTTTAGAAAATATGGATTAGGATAAATGAAGAAAATAATGATCACTCATAATTATGGCCCACAGAGACGGAGAGCTGGTCCCTGGCACGTGTTGGTCTTCTACTGACATGCATACACTCGTACTCTTACCTGTCCATAACCCACTGGTTCTTGAGTGATCTGTACAGATTCTTTCATTTATGCTCACTCTGCTAAGACAACTGCAGCGGTAATTAAGGTAAATAACACCTTTGGTGCTAGAAAGTCTAAACCAGAATCCAACCACGTAAAAAGACATCATGGAACCAGGACAGGAGATGGCAGAGCCAGGACTTGGAGCAAGGCCTCTATGCCCAGTCTACTGCGCAGGACAAACCAACTTCATCTATGACACAGGGCAGTCTGTCATTTTTCCTTTCACAAAGGAGACCCCTGAACTGTAAACAGATATTCTAACGTCAGCAGAAAACACAGCTGTAACTCTGACCTGGGCCACGGCCTGCAAGGGAGTGATGAGGCTGCTGTGCTTGATCTGAATGTCGGGAAGGTCACCATGACGGTAGCTTCTGTACAGAGTGACCTGGGCATCCTGCTTCATTTTTAACTCACTCTTGATCTCCTGTAACCACCAGAACCAAAGAGGGAGATCAGAATTCTCAGTTAAGACAATGACACCTGTTATTCACAGGGGTTTAGTCACTATGCTTTACCAGTCTATGGTAGGAAATAAATCAAAATAAAATCACTAAGGTACACAGGTTATTTAAATATTTATTACAAAGAAATCTGAACATTCCTGAAATTTAAAAATTTGATTTAAAACTTTTTAGAAACAGATTTGGAGGGCTGTGGTTCCTCGTTACTTCCTGAGAATAAGCCTTGGCTGCAAGGACCGGCGAGATGACCTCCTTCGAGGCCCCCAGCCCACCATCTGACTCTGCCACCCCAGACTCCCCAACCCAGGCACAGTCAGGCACCTGCTGCCTGGAGGTCTCTCTTTGGCATTCCCCTCATCACTTGGTTCCCATCTCAGGTGTTCTCTTTTCAGAGAGGCCTTCCACCACCACCTTCAACACAGGTTTCCCTAGATGTGCTCATCATCAGCTTTATTTCTGATACTACCCATGCTATAACCTCAACTTTTCTGTCACGCGCAATGGACTAAAGCTCCAAAGGGCTTATATCCTGCTTACCTTGGTGCCGCTTGCACCTGGCATATTGCTGGGCACTAAGTATAGTGTACTTATTTCCTTAGTCTGTATCCTACGACATAAAATAGGTATTCTGACCAATCAAATTCTTGAAAAAGATACAAACCTTCTCTCGTTTTTGTTCAGCAACACCTCTTCTGGCATAAATCAGACTGAGTCTTTCTCGGTCCTTGAGAAATCGTCGGCGCAATCTTAGTATTTCCGCCCGACTATCTGTGCCTGGAGAATGTAAAGCAGGTCTGGTTACAGATAGCCAATGAGACCTGCCTCCTTCCCAGAATCCCCTAAAGTGAAAGTGAGGCTGCCTGGCTCCACTTTTATTTTGCTTTGTTTGTTCGTTCATTCATTCATTCATTTATTGAGTTAAGAGTCTCACTCAGTCGCCCAGGCTGGAGTGCAGTAGCACACTCACGGCCACTCGAGCGGCGATCCTTCCGCCTCAGCCTTCCAAGTAGCCGCAACTACAGGCATGTGCTGCCATGACCGGCAACACGTTTAAACTTGTATTTAGTGTTCCCTTAGAGACATGAGACGATGAGGAGCCGCAGGAAAGGCAGCTAAGCAATTCTGGAAGCTGGAGAGCAGGGGGATCAGAGTTGCTACTGCTACTAGCCTCAGCCAAATCCTGGCTCAGCGGTTGAAGAACAGGGAGGAGGGGATGATCATGGAGAAGGATCAGGAGACTTGGGAGCCGGGAGGGCCAAGCCCCTCCAGAGAAGGGAGGAAAGGGAAGCCACTGCAGGGGATGGGGAGACACCGGCAGGACAGCGGAGAAGGCCCTGCATCTGCAATGGGTGAGGACTTCTGAAGCTGGCAGCTGCCTCTCCCGCTAGACCCCCAGAGTGCTGGTGGAAGGCTTCAGAACGCAGGCCAGAGGTTGGAAATCTTGCCTGAGTAATCGATCAGCATAGAGAGCAGATGCCTCAGGTGTTTCAACATCTTTTTCTGGCCCAATTTCCCCTCAGTGACAAGCACATACTCCCAATTTGCATTATTCCAAATGCCTTTTTTGTGCCACGCTTGGAAACACAAGCCAAAACCCCAAATCATCAGACATTTGAGAAAAGCTTCAAATAGGAGTTGACAAGGAAAGAGCAACTGTTAAAAACAAGCTGTGCAGGAAAAAAATTTCAAAAACTTATCATTTTTCAGAAAAATAAGAATAGATACTTCAGTTGTGAATCAAGAACGGAAGATATATTCAGGGAACAATACAAGCTCATGGACATTAAAATATAATGCAAGGGATGAAAGATAAGGTGAAAGACAATTCTCAGAAAATAGAGGCAGTGACAACCACAGAAGGAAAAAATAAGAAAATTAGAAAGATCATGTAAAAGGTCTGATATCCAAGCATCAGGGTCCCAAAAAGAGAAATCAGAGAAAACGAGGGGAAGAAGTTATCAACAAAATCACTCATGATAATATTTCAGAACTGAAAAATAGGAGTTAGCAGTCTAAAAGGACAAAACACAAGCCCAGAAAAAACAGATTAAAGTAGAGACCTGCACCAAAGAAAACTTTGTGGAAATTTCAGAAAACTGGCTTTAAAAAGATCCTCAGAGTGTCCATGGAGCAAAGAGCCAGGTTCTTACAAAGGACCCACACTGAGGGTGGCATGAGGTCTTGTGCTGCACCCCTGGGGAACTGGGGACCCTGAAAGATCCATAGCCAAACTCCACAGCTGCAATACCCACCAGATGTGCATGCTCTCAAAAGCAACGTGATGACATCAGGGAGCAATAAAAGCTCACTGCCTCTGACCCCTTTTCTTGGTACACTGCTAAGGAGGTGCTCGCTACAAAGAAGGGATGAGCCAACCCATGTGGAGGAATCAGATCTGGGAAGGGGACAATCCCTTGGGATGAGAGGATGCCACTGAACGTGAACAGAGCCTCGGGGCAAGCACCTGGAACATGGCAGGGCAGAGGCTCCAGGAAAGTCTTCTTTAAGAAGACGAAATACCTTTATGCTGGGACACAGAAAAGACAAATGCACAGCTCAGGGGAAATTCGGTGATAAATATGTACAAAACTAGGCATATAAACCAAAATAATTAGTAATGCCCAGGAAGAAACACCAGGGAAATATAAGGAAAGGAAAAATAGTTAACAGTGCTACTCATGGTTCAATCACAATATATTATATAGTCAGAATAAAAGAAGCACTAAATGTTAATGAAACTAAGACTATGACACAATTAAGCACAGGTAAAGGAACCTCATCTGCACGTGTGCACGCGCACATGTGACACAAGGAGAGGGAGAAGAGAAACAAGATCCTCTCATGTCTGTCATGCAAAGACAAAAAAAAGACAATGAATAGTACTGAAGGAAAAAAACAGCAATATAAAAAGACTCTTTGGAGATGTGGAGGTGAAAACCAAAACTCAGCTAAGAGGTTTGTAAATGGTTGCCTCTGGGATTTGGGAAATGTGTATTATAGAGGGCTGCCATTTCTTCTGATAAGCTTTTGCCAAGTTCTGACTGGTCTCTTTAAACTACATGCATGTGTAACCAATATAAATAAGGAAAGGAAATTGAAAATTAAACAAAGTAACGGTTGTAAAGTAATACTTTAAGCTAGTTTTTAAAAACTATTTTCTTTAAATGATGATAAACAGTATCACAGTATTAATTCATTGTATCTTATGAGCCTCTAAATATACTCACTTAGGCAACAATGTACCATACCCCAAAAAAGACAGTATATGAAATATTTTACATCTATGAAGGTACACCGATTCAAATATGCTAAATAAATTTAAATGGTAGCTATTCATTTTACCTATTTAGCTCTGTGACTGAGTTTCTCCAAATTCAAACAAAACTCTCAAAGAAAATGGTTCAAATTAGGTTTTGCCTCTTTTCTTCCATAATTTCTATACATGGCCCCCTCATTCTACCAACGCCATCTGTGACCTTTTTTCACTCTAGAATATAGACAGGGAAACACTATGGAACAATCTGAGTTGTGTACAACAGTTGCTGCCATCTGCACCAATGTTCGCTTACTTCTGCGCTTCATGCCTGTTCAGTGAAGAGCCCAGTCAACATAGTCAGTCCCTAGCAACCATCCATCACCTGGCCTGCACATCATCGCACATGAACGCCTCTCTCAGCAACACTTCACAGCTTAGAGAGAAAGCCTTACAGCAAGTGGCATGTGTCACAGGCATGCATCCAGGCGTGAGGGTGAGGTAGACAACAGAGAAGCCATGGAGGGCGAGAGTCCTTTTGGGACTTTGTTCGAAGCTGGGAGCCATGAGAGTCCAAGCTCACAGGCAGGACCAAGGGCTGTGTTTGCTGGCACATCACAGGTGTGAAGGAGGAAGAATGTAAAAGGACTCCCGAGAAACTGCTGAGCAAGCAGGAAGGAAGGAACGAGGAGTGAGCTCATTGGCACTCCAACTTCAGCAAAAGACGACTAAATTTACTTCCCTTGGTTACGTTTTAGAGAACTGTGTATGGGCCACAATTTTGTGACAGAAAAGTATGAAAAAGACTAGCCGGGAGCAAAGTAAGAATTTTGTGTGTGTTTTACTGCCTACAATTGAATAAAAAGGAACTGAACCTTGCTTCTAAATTTACTTTTACTTCCACGTATCCAAGTTTCCATGTGGGCATTTTCCCAAGGTCCTACTGCGTGACCTTTTTTCTCTGTAGACTTCCTTCTCTATGTTCTCACTCACTCCCAGAGCTGCTGTTCTCATGAAGAGCTGGCTTCCGACCTGCCCGTCATCCCAGCCTCTTGGCACTGGGTCTGCGGGCCTGGCAGACTTTCCACCAAGCCTCTCAGTGCTCCACTACCTCTGTGCTGTCAAGACACAGGTCCAGGTGTCTTTGGCCCTGACTCCCCAGTTCACCTAACTCCACTTCCTGCCCCACACAAACCTTGCTTAGGGAAGGTCATTCAGAGTCCTTGGGCCATTACATGACTGCTCCCTGATGCTGGGGTTCAAAGTGTGTCCCACCACCCTCAAGCCTGTCTTTTCAACGTCCTCTACCATTATTCTTAACTGTCCTGAAGCATCCATTTACCCAGACTACTCAGGGTCTTTAGCGCCTTGGCATAGGGCTGGCACGCCAGAAACATTCACTAAACTGGTAAGTCCCTTCCACCCTACACATTCCAGCACCCCAGCTCCCAAAGTTCCTCTCAATGTCCTCTCCTTCATCCAGTCTTTCCTGAGGCACTCTCCATTCTCTACAGGAATTAAGTACTCTTGCCCTCTCGCCTTTGCGATTTGCTTAGTAATTCTACCTCACCTTACAATCATCCACCCCTAATGCTCCAGAAAGTCACTAAATGAATGGGCTGAGTCCAACTTATTCAACAGGTTTTCTGGAATGCCTACAAAAACAATATTTTCAAAATGGTAAGTACCAGACATTTACTGAAATGAATTTTAATGGACTTAATTACAGGTTATAAAGAAATGCAGATACAGTCAAACATGTGCTCTCCCGATCTGAGTCTTTGCACTGACTTAGGTGGTTTTAAGCATGCTGCAACCTTACTTACCTTTCACTTTATTATCCACCTCGTCCCCTGGAAGACCTAGCCTTTTTTCCCCAAAAGCAGACCCCACTGACTTCAAGGGCGCTCTCTGTAACTTTTCACTCTTCTTGTGGGCAAACAGCAAAGAAGACGACAAGGAGTCAGAGGATGAAGAGACTGTGTAATCCACTAATGGGTCAATGCTGCTCCCAGTCAGCCAATTAAACGAACTTCTTCCATCTGCAACAGGTGAGCAGCGTCATCACAATAATCAGCACTGCACAGCATCACACATGGGCAGTGCCACCTGCCAGGACACACCAGGTAGCACCTTAAGCCTCTGTGCTACCTGTGACTCTGAGCAGAAGCTCTGTCACGTCCCCAACATGCCACCCAAGACCGACAAGGCACCTGGACCTCAGTGTCCCCATTTTAAAAAGTAAGCAACATGTCACCTGCTCCAAACACAGGAATAATACCTGGTACCTACCATAAAGTGCTAAGAGCCCCTGATTTCTAATATTAGTGTCAAACAATTGTCACTGTAATTATTCAAATTAATATCAACTCCAGAATGTGAAAAAAATTACATAAAGGGAAAAACGTTTAAGTGTTGTAAATTAATTTTGTTTAGGTCTGCTTTGGTTTTGAGATAAAATGTTTTAAATTTGCCACACTGGACCAGGCGTGGTGGCTCACGCCTATAATCCTAGCACTTTGGGAGGCCAAAATAGGAAGACTGCTTGAGCTCAGGAGTTCAAGATCAGCTTGGGCAACATAGCAAGACCTTGTCTCTAAAAATATACAAAAATCGGCTGGGCAAGATGGTGTCCACCTATAGTCCCAGCTACTTGGAAAGCTGAGGCAGAAGGATCGCCTGAGCCCAGGAGGTGGAGTCCACAGTTAGCTGTGACCGTGCAACTGCATTCCAGCCTGGGCAACAGAGTGAGACTCCCGACTCCAAACAAACAAACAAAAATTTACCATGTTAGCCTTTTCTGTACAAAAACAAAATAACAGCATGTATGTACTGAAATTCTCCCTGGTTTTTCCAGTCAGAAATAATCCTTTTCTCCTATTTTAAAACAGACATAACATAAATATGCCATTTCAGCCATTTTAAAGCACACAGTCCAGTGCCATTAAGTATACTCACACTGTCCTGCAACCATCACCGACATCCATCTCCAGAACGCTTTTCACCTTGCAAAACCCATTAAACAAGAGCTCCTCATTCCTACTCTCCAGCTGTGGCATCTGATTCTTTCTTTCTCTATGAATTTGACTATTCTAGGAACCTCCTTCCTTTCCTTCCTCAACTGACATATCTTCCCCATGGTCCTTATCACTGTTTGCTATTATTGCTTTACTTCTCTCACAAAAGACTAAAGTTTTTATGACAGAAGCTGCTTCTACAGTCATTGCTGTGTGCACAGCAGGTAGGTATGCAGCACTGTTACCTGCAGTCTGTGTAGGTGTGAAAACTTGCTGCTGCTGGGTGGCCCGTATTTGCCGGGCAGTCGGCCCATGAGCTGAAAGGGATCCTTCCTGGGTGCGGGTGTGCAAAGTGCTCTGGGAGGCCTGGGTCTCAACAAACATCGGAGTGAGAACAGTACTTCGGAAACGCCAGTCTGGATCAATGGTATATTCCTGCAAAGAAGAAAGCTTCAAATGAAATGATCTTCCTTTTCTAGCAACACGGAAATATTTCTATTTAAGGTCCAAAAGTTTCATCAACAGATATGCACCATAACTTTGTATTTCTCTGTGGGAAACAAGTGAAATAACGTTTTCTAATTTAAAAGCTGTAAGTGTATAATTATTTGCCAACTAGAATAATGAATTACCACTGAAAGAAAAAAGAAAGCATTTATCTTCATGTTCTGCATGAAAAAACTTGATGTCATGCTCAGTAATGATACCACAACACAACTGTAATGAGTCGAGCAACCTAACTTTCCTAAAAATGCACATGTCACCCTCTGGGACAGACACAGAGGGCACTCTGTCAGCAGCACAGAATCCAGCTCTGCCTCCCAGGAGCTATCAACACTGTGCAGGTCATCACGACTGCGAGGGCTGCCAAGAAAAGGCAAAAATGCGGCACCCGCCATAGGGCTGAGAGGAGTGGTGGGAAGGGGAGAAGGGAAACCCAAGCGGAGCCCCCAAGGGTGAGGCACGTGGGCCTCCAGGAGGGCAAAGGCAAGTTGTGAATCCTTCAGAAAGGAATGGATGAGTATTCCTAGAATAGTTAAGACAGGCAGTTTAACACCATTACAAATGTTCATTCACTAACAAACAGGAAAAGCAGATCATATTCATTATTATGATAGAAATGAGCATCTCACCTGAAATTCACATTCTGACAGAGGATGCTCAAACATGGGGTTTGAGTAATCTGGGCTCATGCTGGTCATTTCAAGCAGAAAATTTGTTGCTAAACTTAAGAAATGCATTTCTATTTTAGGAGAATATAAAGAATTTAGTGCCAGCAATCGGTCCAAGGTATTTGAGGGTAATCTAGTTTCATGGCTCCAGAAATTGTAAATAATTAATCTGAAAAGCAAAGGGGGAAAAAAGTAAATTGCTCAGACATTGGCAAATGAGAAGGAATGGCTGCATGTGTCATCATATGGAAAAGGTACAACTTTTCATCCATATAAGCTTAGCAGAGAGGAAGACTATATTCAAAGTTGAATAAAGAGTACAACCTAGGCAAGGGCAATGGCTCAAGCCTGCAATCCCAGCACTCTGGGAGGCCGAAGCAAGAGGATTGCCTGAAACCAGTGGTTCAAGACCAGCCTGGGCAACTTGGCAAGACCTCATCTCTACAATAAACCAAAAAATTAGCTGGGCTTGGTGGCACATGCCTGTTGTCCCAGCTACTTGGGAGGCTAAAGTGCAAGGATCACCTGACCCCTGCAGGTTGAAGATGCTGAGGCCGTGAGCGTGTCACTGCACTCCAGTCTGGGGGGCACAGTGAAACTTCAACTCAAAAAAAAGTATAACCTGAGTTATGAGAAATAATATGCACTGAAGGAGAAAATATTTTTAAAATGTAGCATATTTAACAGGAGACAAGAAACTGAGTAATTTTATTCCCTCATCTCTATCCCCTAGGAAGTTTTCAGTGATAAGTACATAATAAATATTTTGAAATTGAAAAAACACTTTAAGGTATTATATATAAAACTTACTACCTGGCTAAAATAATTCATTCAAAAAATATTTAAAACTTAAATTAGTTAAAAACCAGATTCGACTCTATAATTTATGAATGCATGAGATCCAAATACAATTTGGTTTTTTTTGAGTTGGAGTCTCATTCTGTCACCCAGACCTGCTGGGCTCCGGCGATCCTTCCATCTCAGCCTTCCAAGTAGCTGGAACTACAGGCGCGCACTACCATACCCGGCTAATTTTTTTGATTTATTGTAGAGATGAGGTCTCACCAAGTTACCCAGGTGGGTCTCGAACCCACGGGCTCAGGCAATCCACTCACCTCAGCCTCCCCAAGCGTGGGATTACAGGCTGAGCCACTGAGCCCGGCCAAATACAATTTTTAAAAGCTCAATTAATTTAAGACTGTAGCAGAATGGAAAAATAAGTGATATACAAAATTATATAAAAAGTTTATGCCCTTTCTTTTACAATTAGTACTCACTAAGACACTCATATAACTGTTTTAGGGTAGGCATTTTAGAGAATGACAATCATCATTCATACTTCCATACACAGTCAATATTTTCCTCCTAATTCTAAGATTTCAAATACTTCATTCAATATTAATACATATAGTATTTCAATTAGTTCTGTTAAATGGGAAACAGAACAAGCACCATTACAAATTTTCTCTTCATTCTGAAACACTTTAAGACTCAGTGCACTAGCGGGAGAGCACTTTGTTCACACCACTTTTTCATGCGCTTTTATTTAGAGCAGCCTGTCCACCAGGCACAGTGGCTCACACGTGTGACCCCAGCACTCTGGGAGACAACGGCGAGAGGACCGCTTGACACCAGGAGTTTGAGACCACCTGGGTAACGCAGCAAGACCCTATCTCAACAAAAAACTAGCTGGGCATGGTGGTGCCCATCTGTAGTCCCAGCTATTTGTGAAGTCAAGACAGGAGGACTGCTTGAGACCAGGAGTTTGAGCCTGCAGTGAGCTATGATAGTGCCACTGCACTCCAACCCAGGCCACACAGCGAGACCTTGCCTCTAAAAAAAAAAAATTATTTTTAATCAAATAGCTTGTCAAGAGTAAGTCTAACTCTTTATGATATGATTCAAAATAAATCCTTAAATAAACATTATGAAATGCAGGAGGCAGAGAACATGCTAATACTGCAAATACATTTCTAAAACAGCTGAAAAGCAGTCTGTCCTAGTCTCAAAAGCAACTCCCCTAATGCTTGATTGCTCTGGCCTAGTTATTTCAGGAGGAGCACATACTGAAGCCCAGGGTTCTCATCGATCAATCCTTGAATCAGCACATCTTTTGCCAACTTAAATACTTCTTGGGAGTCACCATCTGTTTGACTTTCTGGATCTCTGTTTGAGAAAAAAAACAAAACAACAAAACATTAAACGCTCTTCTGGCCCTTCTGTTCAACCCCAATAACACTGTCTAGAATTAAAGTTAAAAGGCCTGGCTTTTCTCATGGGACTGTAACTCCCCACATCACAGCAGACCCCCTCTCAGGTATGTGCCCAGGCCTGACACCCTGTGAGCCTGCTGTCACTCCCAGCAGCAGAACGGTTGGCAGGAGTGGGGAGGGCCTGCGGGGATGCCAGGTGGTCCTGAAATGCCCAGTCACGGTGGTGCTGGCACACCTGGAGGATGAGGGTCCTGGCAGACTTCATCTCCTTAGTCTTGCCAGATCTTAAAAGGATAACTATGAAAACATAGTTTTTTATAAGTAGGATGTGTATACACTTTTAACACAGCCAATAATTTCACTCTATGAATATTTCCCACATGTGTACAAAATAAATTAAGATAAGGATACAATCCAACATAGTAAAAAAACTTTACTTTTATCATTAATCATATCGTAAAAAAAAAAAATGTCTTATTATGTTCCAAAATGCTAAAGGCACCCACCCAATCCATAAAAAATGTAATCTGCCAGCCTACAGCTCACCTGTAATTGTCATGAATCCACATGAGAATATTATACATTTGTTCCCTACATGCTGGAGAAGGATGGGAAACAAATTCTGCAACAGGGCTCAGAAGTTCTCGGAGTTCTGCTGGCTTCAATTTTGCCATCATCTTATAAATGATATTCAAACACACTTTTTGTCTTTCATCATCTCTGTAATAAGAGAGATTTTTAAAAATCACACAAATTTAACTATTTTTATTATTGTATTTTCAAAGTTTGATGGGTAACTTTTTCTTCTTTGGGCTTGTCTTGTAGTTTCAAATTTTGTTATATCTGGTAATACTGTACTCATATAAAAATTACATTCTTAAAATGATTATCATGAACCAAATTATATAAAACAAATTAATTCAGTGTGCTATCCTGGACTGGATCCTGGAATAGCAAAAGGATATTAGGGAAAAACTGGTATAATGAAAATAAAGTGTAGTTTAGTTAATAGTAATGTACTAATGTCAATGTCTTAATTTTGACCAATGTACCAAAATTATGTAACATGAAGAAACTAGGTGATAGCTTTAAACTTTTCTGTAAATATAAATTTATTTCAAAATAGAAGTTATTTTTCGAAAAACCTGGAATAGCAAACCAAATATTCTTTCAAAGGATTTCAAGGCTGAGAGTGGGAACTCATGTCTATAATTCCAACTCTTAGGGAGGCTGAGGTGAAAGGTTTGCTTGAGTCCAGGAGTTTGAGACCAGCCTCAACAACACAGCAAGACCTTGTCTCTACAGAAAATTTAGAAAATAAGCCAGGCATAGTGGTATACACCTATAGTCCCAGCTACTTGGGAAGCTGAGGCAGGAGGATCGCTTGAACCTAGGAGGTTGAAGCTGCAGTAAGCTATGATCATGCCACTGCAGTAAGCTATGATCATGCCACTGCACTCCAGCCTGGGTGACAGAGCAAGCTCCTGTCTCTAAAGTAAACAAACAATAAATCAGCTTAATAAACCGCTAATCTTCATTTTAAAAAATAAATAAAAAATGATTTCAATGCTACCTGGCATATTGTCTAGAATTAAAGCTAAAAGGCCTGGCTTTTCCCAGTACAGTCTGGGTTATAAATGAGGCAAATATTTGTTTCTTGCTTTGTGTATTTCTTACTCCTTAGAGCATCCTGCTGAATGCCTTACAGTAGATATTCAGTAAATAGTTACTGAAGGATATTAGGGTACAATGACACATATTTTGTTACTGGCACACTGAACACTTATCAATAATTTATCACCACATACAAATACATATAAAGCCAGACTAGAAAAGAGTACAGACAAATAACTGATCAGCACTTTTCTCTTTTAACACTTACCTGAATGCTATATTGCAATTCTGAAAATAAATGCATTTTAAATTTGAAGAGAGCCTGAGGCAACACTGCAAGCCACTTTCTTCATTGATTCACTAGCAGGCTGTGGGATGTGGCTCCCCAAGGCACCAGGCCAGGTGGGTGGGGAGGGGCAAGCAGGCCCACCTCAGCACACATTTGTGCCTTTTCTCCTCAGACTTACCCTTTGCAAACATGCATTTCATGGAAAGCCACAAGTTCTTCCTGAGTCGAAGGAGATGGCTGAACTGAAGAATGCTTTATGAGTCAGCGGACCTGGGAGCGTGGGCTGGGACTCACTCACCTATGCCTCATTACTTGAACAAAGTCCTTGCTCTTCAACTGGAAGTAAAGGTCTGTCATCCCCTCTGCACAACACAGCACTACCTCCAAACAAAGTGTCTTCATCACTCCATGAAATTTCGGTAGCAGGAAGAATACGGCATTCATGAACCTGGAGAGCGGAAGGACATGTGAGAGGAAGGTGGCAAAGCCCCATCACAGGTGCCCTGGACGGCCCTTACCTGTCAGCAAGAGGAGGGAAGCTCTTGGCCACTTTGTTCAAGCACACAATAAATTTGTCCGCCATAGCATTCTGATGGTGCTTCAGTTGTTTAACAGCCAGCTCACACACCGACTCCGCTAGCATCTGAAAAATCAAGCTTCTCTTCAGATACACAAAGGTGGAAATTTATACCAAGCTCTGAAAATAAAGTTTATTTGAATATTTAAGTGAACTCAAGGAAGGTGTTCAATGTTACCACCCACAACAAGGTGAATGATAAAACAGGAATGCGGTGGATGTCCACTGTTTGGCACTGACCACCGTAAGCCCCAGGGTTTCAGGTCCTTCAGTTCCTGCACCCACACGAGTGAGCCAGCAAGACCACGTCGCTGTGCTCTGTGCTGTAAGCACTGGGACATCATTATATCAGATGTTGGGGCCAATAAAGAAGATTTGTGTTTTCTTCTGACACCAAAACACTGCCAGTAAGTCCTTTGAGAAGCTAAACTACAATTCATGGTTCAATACTGTTTAAAATACATTTTAAAATGTTCAGGTCTCTGGTAAAAAAATATTCACATAGATTAGACTGGAAGCTTCAAGCAACACTATCCACGTGGCCGTCCCTATCACTGTTACCTACCTACACCCACTTTCTCTTCAGCATGTATTTCTACCTGCTGTCTCCCTTCCCAAATGCCAGCTCTCGAAGGGTCGGGGTATGGCCTGTCTCTGCTGTATCCCGGGGCCTAGAACCGGCAAGTGCATCCTCAACAATAAGTGCTCAACACAGACAAGTACAGGAGAGTCTACTAGAAGGAAGTAATGAAACATGTTCACTTCCTTCATGGCTCATCTTCTTCCTCACAAAGATTAGAAAAGGAGAGTAGGCAACCTTTTCAAGGGCACCGAGACGGAATGAGTAGTTTTTGAATACAAACATTCTGCAGGCTTAACATCCCAAACTAAAAAATCTGAAACCTAAAATGTTCCAAAATCCAAAACTGGTTGAGCATTGACACAACGCTTAAAAGAAATGCTCATTTTAGATTTTGAATTTTTGGATTAGGATGCACAAATGCTAAGTATAATTAAAATACACTAAAACCTATAATTAAAATATTCTAAAATCTAAAAAAATCTATAATCCAAAGCACTTCTGATAAGAAATACTCAGCCTGTAGTATGAGGATACTTTTAAACTATGTTCAAGGAAAATCCTTCACACAAAACCACACATTTCAATGGCCTGAACCCCACGTAGAACGTTTTAATTAAGTATTTTATTACAGATACATCAGACACATCTTCTTATTTAAAGTATTTAATATGATGACACAATGAAATGGTCACAAACTAGCAAGTAAAGAAAGCAAGTTCTAAAACTATGAAGGCTGAACAGCCACACATACGTGCTGACAGTCAGAGCCATGTACTTTGATGCTGACGGCTGCTGCAGGGGAATATGAGCCTTTTACTTGTTTATTTTTACTCTGCTTTCCAAATTTCTACACTAAATCCATACCACCTTTATAACAGGAGAAAAACTATGTAAAACACAAGTGCTTATTATTCTTATTAAGTTGAAATTTAAGTCATTAGATAGTAAATCTAGAGATCTGCTGAAAATTGCTCCATTTGTGGTGAAAATGAAGCATATTACATATATTTAAATCTAAATCTTACGAACATTCAAATCATGCTGCAGCAGGTTCTTTTGAATTTTAAAAATCTGCTTAATTTACAAAAATTGCTGGCAATCCCTAAAATAAATTATAAGTGAAGTTTGATCTTCCCACAATGGTCTATTTCTTGTGTCATTTAATTTTATTTTAAATACAAGCACATCATAATTGGTAACATGGACAAGGGTCCGCTTGTTGTGCTGTGCAGCCTTTTGTTCACTCAGGACCACCTGGCTCCTGAGCTCTTCTCATCCAGTCTGGCAGCGGCCATGGCCTGGACTCCACTTTGTCCTTTCTTTTAGGAGAGAAACTGGACTGGGGACGCCCCTTGGAGAATCACGAACATAAAGGCAGGTTCCAAAGCCACGAGGCTAGATGAGATGGGCAGGGGTGCAGTGAAAAAGGAGACCAGAGCAGAGCTATGGAGGGGGCAGAGGAAACACAGCCATGGAGAGAAGCTGCTGCCAGGGAAGAAGGAAGGGAGCCAAGCGTGTCCTTGCAGTGTGACCACCGGACCACCCTGGACAGGCCCCACAGCAGCGAGCCCGGGGACGTGCATGACACTTCATGCCAATGAGGGTGCTGGCACTGGAGACCCCGAAGCCCACTGCCTCACTTAGTCGACACGTGAGAGGACAGGCGCACGTGTGGTTAGGGCCACCCTGCTACACAACGCACAGTGAAGTTACAGCACATGATCACCACACAGTGGTCCGTGCAGACACCTCAGACACACACCTTTAAGAAGAACACCTTACTTAGACATACGGTACTCTGATCTAAACACGCCCTGCACTTAAGCATTCAGCTGGGTTCTCTTCACAATCCTGCACAGCAGGCAGGGAACTCGGGACTGAGAAGGTCCCAGGGAGGCCCCCCCCTTGCTCAAGAGCCACATCCAGGTGGGAAACGAGAAGAGCAGCATTTGACTAGGATGACTCAGCCTGCACCACCTACCAGAGTGGTGTTCCCTCCAAGGAGTCCTGAGGCCAAGTCCGCAGAATGAAAGCTGGTTTGATACTCTCATCCTAACTTTTACAATAAAAAGGCAGTCACTGATCTTAAATACTCACCGTTTCCAGGCATTTAGAACAACCATGTGCCCACTCTAAAAAACTGAGCACTGTCATTGGCACACAGTAAGAAACAGAGTAAAATATTAATAAGTGCAGATGCCCACTTTGATTCTAACGGCATAGAGGAAATACATATGTGTCAGTGGTCATAACAAATAAAAATAGAAAAAGAAGTATGTATTTAGAATTGTACAACGTACATTTTTTCTCTCCATGATATGTTGAAGAACAAGTCCTAGAACTTCTGCCGCTGCTGCATACACCTCTTTATATTTTACAAAGGACATATTATTGACTAAAGCTTGAAAGTATCTACAATAAACACAGGAAATAAATATACATAAAATAATCCATTTTGTTGAGATGAAAATACAACAATTTTCTTCAGGTCATATTAACAGCACAAATTGAGAAAATCTAAACACAGGACATGATACAGGCTCCACTCCACATAGGAAGACACAAATCAGTGGGTACTCAAGGGCTCTAACGTCATGAACAGAGGGCATAGGGCAACCACTGTCCACCACACGGAACCCCTGTGATCAGAGTAATCCCACAGGGCCAGACACTATAAACAGCTGCCATGAGAGGAGGAGCTACGTTTCAAGATTACGAGGAACTGACTTCCTTTCAAAGGCCACCTACTGTGACAAGACAAGGACAATAAAATGACCAGAAAGAGAAACACCACGTGCCCACTGCCGGTGCTACGTGAGGAAGCTCTGCAGGGAGCAAGGCATCTCACTGTCGGCCCTAATGGCGACTCTGCCAAGTTCCTGGTGCGGAAGCCAAAGCTCAAAACAGTGACTGGTCTCAAAGCAGAGGAGTTCTTCCTGGGTCTGCTGAGCCACTGTCTGTCTCAGCCCTGAGGTGACACTAGCAACTGCTGCGATGGTGCTGGGAGGCCAACACGGAGGACCAAGAAGAGGTGAAATGTCCCACAAGGATGGAAGGCTTGGCCGGGCCGGGCAGGGGGGGCAGCAACTCGTGGAGTAGCCACGGTATGAACACCGCCTTCAAAACCCCTGGAGCAGGACAAGGAAGCACCCTCTTGTGATGTCCCAATTTCACCCGACTGAGGTTCCTTCCAGTCTCTCAGGCAGGACAAGGGGCGGCAGCAGAGTAACATGGAAGAAAGCCCATGCAGGACACACAGCCTGGCATCTGCATGGTCCTGTTGAGGTCAGAGACCCTGGAACAAGGCCTTCCATAGGGCCCATGTTACTTTTGGGGGAAAATGTTAAAATGCCAGTTTAGAAAATAAGAAGAAAATACTCTTACCTGTCAACATGTACATGAAAAAAAATCACTAATTTTTTAAAACCTAAATTCCTCATTCATTCCATATGTATTTCTCCTCCCGAATGACTCTGAATCCCACTGTCTAAGTTTCGGTAGAAATATTTTTAACACGGGTGTGGTCCTTAGATTTATCAAAACTACATCATACTCCAGTCTGTCAATCCAATTCAGGTAGATTCAACTTAAAGAATCAAGTAAAAAATCGTAACACTTACTCACTGCTCTCAATGCCACACTGCGGATCATAGGGAGGCAAGTCATTGGCCACAATGATGCCTAACAATTGAATCCCTACCGAATTGTCTTTAGAATTGGGATCTTTACTGGAAAACTTTTCAAATATCAACCTGAAACATAAGTACAAGGGAGAAAACAGACTGTTCATATAACCAGATGAGAAGCAGGAAGACAAACACAAAATTTTCCGAAGCTCATTTTCATGGTAAGAAACGTTTTTCCTTTTTCCACATGCAACACCCTTCCTGCTGACATCCCTTCCCCCACCACGTCCCTGTTCACATCCAGGTTGCTTTAGCTCTGTAACATAGGCAGTTTTATGTTTCTTTTGTTGTTGTTGTTTCTTATTGTTATCTGCTCCAATTCTCCCTTAGTCTTTGAGGGTAGAGATTTTAGTTTCACTGCAGCACCATTATATCCCTGAAAGGGACTCTACTTCAAACTGCGCCACTTCCTACATTTCACATAATTAAATTTCATTGAAATGACCATTTATAACATGCTACATTTTAACCAAAATTTGTAAACAATTGGGCAAAAACCAGTAAATATATACCTGTAAGGGATGGATAAACAATCCTTCCAGCATTCAACAAAAGTTTTTATAATTTCAAGGTTGTGTCTAAATACAGCTCTTTTCGGATGAAAGACATGTTTCATCAGGAAATGAAGCAATCGATTTGCTAACACTTCATCTTTAGGGACTCCCTGAAAGAGAAAAGAAATTCTAAATTAATACGTAGCATCCAATTCTGGAAAAGCATTTTTTAATCCAAAAGTCCATTCGTAAGAAAAATCTGGCATTTTCCTGAGGAATCAGGCTCCTGGTTAAGGCCCTCGGTGTGATATTTCAGGACTGACCACCGGCAACGACAAAGGGTCTCCCTGGCAGGGCCTGCAGGGCAGCTGCCTCTGGCACAGACACGAGCACAGGCAGCACTGCAGCCCATGGCATCGCTCCCCTGTGTCCCCCAACAGCTAGCCATGCCCTTTGCACCTCTGCATTTCTCCGGGAAGCCTCTACTCCTAGGTCCCTTTATCTGAGGCCCTAGACAGAGGTTTTCTTCAGAGCAGGAGGGAGAAAGCTGTGAGGATACTTTCCTCACTCTGTCTTAGGACCCAGCATTTTTGGGCTCTGAGCCCTTTCTCCTGGAGACCCCTGACCCTCACCCGAGTCCATAAAAACCACCAGAATCTCTTGTTTGGAACTCCTCAACAGTGAGATTACCCTGTCTATGCTGACCCTTGATCAGTGCATCATCCCATGGCGAGGAACAGAATGGAGAGTCACCCTCTAGCTTTAGCCTCTTGCTTATGCTTCTGCAAGGTCATTAAAGGCTTCTTCTTGGCTTGCTGTTACTTTAATCAGCTACTCCATCTGGCAGTTCTGCTCTCTTGAGCTCAGCTAGCTCCTAACATCTATATCAATCTTTTCCAATGATTCCTAAGTTAAACTAAACACTCTCTTAATTTTCTCATGTTATTAAGTAAACTACAAATTATTTCATCACATTACGGCTAAGAAATCTGAGTCTGGTTTACTGTGAAATGAATGAAATGGGCAGATCCCGTCACAAACGTGAAAAAGCTACATGTAAGTTTAATAAGGACTGTTTCCATGATATTCTTACATAGAAACTTTTATATGCTGTCAGTGTCCACAATTTTAAATGAGAAGGTAAAGCTTTAACGCACACGCATCTACACTGGTGAGTACCATATTTGCCTCAGTACAACATGGTATCACGATCTGGTACCCACTGTTTCAGCAGTCTAGTCTCGCCCTACTGAATTACAGTCAACACTTTGGGAGTAAATAAACTGGCAAACAAAAAAATCCAAGGACTTCAGTCTCAGCATAAGTCCTCAAATTCTCACATTCAGAGTCTGCTGAAATTTAATTTATACATAATTTTAATAAATCTGTTACCTCATTTCCAAGCTCCTAGCATATAAAAGCAACAAACAAAACAAACACCTGACAGCTTAGTAATAAAATGTCAGAGGAACTATCAAAAGCAGATAAAAGAAAAAACCAAAGCAACACAAAGTCATTTGGTACTGAAGCACCACATCAATATAACAACTAATACTAAAAATGATGACTCCAAGTCCATTAAGAGCCTGAATTACCTGTTATATGCTCTATAAGATATCAGCAAAGGAATAATGTATTACTGCATAGAAGATGCATCTAAGCCGGGCTCGGTGGCTCAGCCTGTAATCCTGTGTTTTGGGAGGCCGAGGTGAGTGGATTGCCTGAGCCTGCGGGTTCGAGACCCGCCTGGGCAACTTGGGGAGACCTCATCTCTACAATAAATCAAAAACTAGCCGGGTGTGGTAGTGCATGCCTGTAGTTCCAGCTCCTTGGCAGGCTGAGGCGGAAGGACTGCTGGAGCCCAGCAGGTCGAGGCTGCAGTGGCCAGGAGCACACCACTGCACTCCAGTCTGGGCGACAGAGTGAAACTCCAGCTCAAAAAAAAAAAAAAATACATCCACCCTTACCATAGGAGTAGCCACGCTTGTCCATGAAAGAACAGTAGCCACTATCTCAACCACCATGTGGTGAATTCCTACTCCTCCATTGTCTTCAGAAGCAGCCAGCTGCAGCAAGGGGCTAAGCCAATGCTTCGCATAGGGGCGGAAGGCCTGTAAGAGGATTTCAAAGTCAAACATCAAAGCACCATGCTGAATAACCGACATATTAATACAGGATATAGCCTCCATCATAGAATTTTATACTATGACTGGACCTAAATCCAGAACAGAGGTAAATTGTAACAATGACCCAACTTATATTAGATTCTCTTTTAAATGATCTCTTTATGGACTCTTGTAACAATTTGATGAAAATTAATTTGTTATTGACTGTTACACTGCTTAAAAACCTTCTGATATAATGATGTTCCCAGAAATAAATTCAGTATCAACCTTCTCTATTCTATATGAATAATATGTGGCTATAAAAAATTCTTTTATTTTATGTAAAAGGCATACGAAAAATGAGACTGTAAAATTTAGGTGGGCATGTGCAGCTAATTTTTTTTTCACTTTTTCTAATATTATAGACGTCATCCTGTTATAAACATCATATGCTTAAGATCTCTGAAATCTAAATTAAATGTATCCATACACTAAATTCCATTTGATTTATTTTAGGAATTGCAGGAGAATGCCACTTTGATGGAAAAGAAGAGACTGACGATCATACTCCAGACTGTCTGCCTTCTTAATCTTTCCATCCTCTTTTTGAAATGTTTTCTCAGGGATTTCTCACCTATTCTCACAGCTTCATCCATGAAGTCTAAAATTTAACCATGCATGTAAGTAAAAAAAAAAAAAAGAATCTGAGGACGCTCCGTGTATGTCTATAGGTTTATTTATAAATAATATATCTGAATCACTTCACTATGTTACTACATTGTAACAACTATTTAAAGGCTGACATGTTTCAGGTAAGTACAAACGCAAGTTCTGTTCTTTTCCGCCGCAAGATGAGGACCGTCTCAAGCATCTCCTGCCGAGAACCAGTGCCCTGTCCCCCGAGGCTCCGGAGGCACCTCTGCTCCAGGGACACAACCCGGAAACGCCGCTGAGGTTTTGCACCCCACGTGTGCAGAAGCAAGGCAGCGGGCTTCCTCATCAGGCTGCCTTCCCATGCGCAGCCCCTCCACCCCCCAGAAACCACCCTAAGACAAACATCCATTCCTTTCTGGTATCCTTCAAGTCAACACCAGGAGGAAAATGAGCTAGAAATCATGTGTGGCTCGGAGTGTTATGGGTTGAACTGCATCACCCAAAAACCTGCTGAAGTTCTAAAATTCAGCATGTGACCTTATTTGTAAACTGGGTCTTTACAGAGGCAATCCAGTTCAAGCAAGGTCGTCAGAGTGAGCCCTAATCCGAGATGACTGGCACCCTTGAAAGAAGGGAAACTTGGACACAGAGACAGATGCTTGGAGGAAGACAACATCAAAACACAGGGAGAGCACATCCACACACCAAGGAATGCCTATGGTCACCAGAAGCTGGGAGCAGCTTGGGCCAGACTCTCCCTCACAGCCCACAGAGGAACTGATCCTGCTGACATCTTGATCTTGGACTTCTGGTCTTCAGAACTGCTGTCTGAGGCCCCTAGTCTGTGACAGCAGACCCAGGAGTAAGGAGTTAAGTAAGACCCTGAAGAAAGCAGGCCTACTGCAGTCCCAGGCCAGCCTTAGGGACTTCCCGATGGGCTCAACCTTCGGGTCACTAGGCCTGCAGAGTTGCCCAGAAGGACCTGCTGTGGCACCAACTGGATCATGTCGCCCTGTTACCTGGTGTCCTTCAGTGGCACCTTACTGTTTTACAAATGAACCTGACCCTCTGCATGATTCCCCCACTTCTAACTCAAAAGAGGCTAATTTACACATTCTAAAAGAAAATGATACAGAAAAGATGTCGAACAAGTAGATAAATATGGTTGGTTAATTTATTCAGAGAATAAAAATGTCATCTTCTGTCCCTTTACATCTTCCTTTGTTGTGGCTTTAAGTAGATTCATAGAACTGCAAAAAACTGTTAAGGAAGCAATAAATTACTTACTTCTTCTGTATTAATAACAAGCTTGGCTAAGAAGAGACGGATATTTAATGGTACCAATGGATTTCCCAGTTTGTTATGGAGAAATTTCATCCAAGGAGGAAGATCTCTTGGCAACGAACCCTGAAATAAAACATTCAAAATTACCTTGAAAAGTAAAATAAAGGCCGGGCACAGTGGCTCAAGTACTTTGGGAGACCGAGGTGAGAGGACTGCCTGAGCCCACGGGTTCGAGAAAAGCCTGGGCAACTTGGCAAGATATCATCTCTACAATAAATCAAAAAATTTGCCAGGCGTGGTAGTGCACACCTGTTGTTCCGGCTAGTTGGAAGACTGAGGCAGAAGGATCGCCTGAGCCCAGCAGGCTGATGCTGGGGTGGCCATGAGTGTGCCACTGCACTCCAGCCTGGGCGATGGAGTGAGACTCCAACTCAAAAAAAAAAAAAAGGAAAAGTAAAAGAAAAGAACCACATTAAATATTATGAGAAAACAATGACAAAGTAAGACACGAACAACCAAAAATCATGTTTATTTGATACTCAATTTGATATAGAAACTACACATCTGACAAAGGACTAATATCCAGAATTTACAAAGAACTCAAACAAATCATCAAGGAAAGAAGTGTATGACCCCATTTAAAAAATGGGCAAAGGACACGAACAGACATCTCTCAAAAGAAGACATACGAATGGTCAACAAACACGAAAAAAATGCTCATCATCACTCTTCATCAGGAAAATGCAAGTTAAAACCACAATGCGATACTACTTTACACCAGTCAGCATGGCCATTATTAAAATGAAAAACAACAGATACCGACATGAATGTGGTAAAAAGAGAATGCTTATATACTGTTGGCAGGAGTATAAATTAGTGCAACCTATATGGAAATCAGCATGGAGAGTTCTCAAAGAACTAAAAGCAAATCTACCATTTGATCAAGTAATCTCACTACTAGATATCTACTCAAAGGAACAGAGGTCGTTATATAAAAAAGACACCTGTACCTGCATGTTCATCACAGCACAATTCACAATTGCAAAAATGTGAATGAACTGATCAGTGGATAATGAAAATGTATATAAACACAAGGAACACTCCAGCTATCACAAAGAAAGAGATCATGTGATGTCTTAAGATTGCATAATGAAAGATGTTAACATTTGGAGTAACTGTGCTACACAATAAAGTTAGCATTTTCCACATAAAATACTTAATGTAAAAAATGAAAAGAAAAAAAAAAGAATGAGATCGTGTCTTTCGTAGCAACTTGGAATTGGAGATCATCATCCTAAGTGAACTAACTCAGGAACAGAAAACCAAACACCACATGTTCCCACTTATAGGTGGGAACTAAACTAAGGATCTGCAAAGACATAGAGGATGGTGTAATGGACACCGGAGACCCAGAAGGAGGAGGGAGAGGGGTAGAGGGATGAAAAATCACCTGTCAAGTACAATGTGCACAGGTTGGGAGTGGTGAATACACTTAAAACCCACACTTCTTTGCCACTATAAAATGCAACCGTGTAACCGAAATCATCTGCTCTCCCCAAAACTACTGGAAAAACACAATTAGGCTTAGTCATCAACAAGAGTTAACTCTCAACACCGCACCTCTTCTCCATCAGGGGGGCTCAGATTTCTGTGCAGGTGCTTTATCAGGGCTGTCAGGGGGGCCATGCACTCGTGCTGATTGAGCTCATCCAGCTCCAGCTCCAGCATATCATCAGGAACCACAGGGTCCCGGCGTTCCTGTAAGAAGAGGAGAGCCCAGTGGGTCAGAGCATACAGCTAACGTGAGAGTCTCATTTTTCGGACAATACCATAACAACCAGCAATAATGATAATCTGGTAATAATATCCATTACACTTGGTGTCTTTTCTTATCAAACAACAAAAAAAGACACAGGATTTCGTCTTCCTTACATTTCAGGTACCGACCCTATCTGTCCAGTCACTCCCCAGGTCATACCTCAAATCAAAGCATCTCTGCTACATTGACCACTGTCTGTGAGGTCAATTTCCAGGGTCACACCTCAGGTCAGACGTTTCTGCTACATTGGCCCCGACCCCATCTGTGGTCACTCACTGGGGCCACACCTCAGATCAGAGTGCTATCTTAACACCTGACCTCCTGTGCTGATGAAATCTGATTGTTGAGTCTACAGAACAAAAGGCCAGGGGCTTAGATCTTAGAAAATTCTCCAAACTGATGATATTCTCTGAGGACTACCATTAGACAGATTACTGGCTTCCTATACTAATGGCAGGGCATAACTCCCCCCCCCCTTTTTGTTTTGCAAACTTCAACAAAATTCTTTTAATATGTGAAATATGATCACCCATCTCCGAAAACGACCAGTGGTAGATTTAGGGTCTTGGGAGTTGTACGAATAGCTCTGAACTCCAGTAGAGAAATCAAATTGACTCATTTCCTCACTCAGGCTACTCTCTGCCAAATGTGACAAGGAAGACATATAATGAGGACCATCTGAAATATAAATAAGAAGAAAATACACACAGTCAAGCATGATCAATAAAAAATTTATTTCTCTAAGCTCAAATGATATTAAAATTAAAGGATACTTTTAGATAAGTCTTTCGTCAACCCTGTGATTTCTTAACCCATTATTCAGTTTAACAAAGCAAATGAGGAAAAGGCTTCTCTTTGCTTTTGTCACTATCAATCAGTTCTTCTCTACTGTCATAGATAAATTAAGTTAAACTGGATTCAATTTTTCATATAATTAAAAGATTTAATTTGCATTTAAAGTTTTGATGATGTACATGTTGTTCCCCATTAAGTCTACCATAAATGTGGGGAGAAACACTATCCGAAAACTAGCTAATCCAAAATATGCAAAGGATTTAGAATACTATCTCAAATTTTATCCTCATATCAAGAAATGTCAATAAAAGCTATACAGAAGAATAAAGCAAAAATAAAGACAAGAGGCACGTGGATGACAGAAGGTTCATTTTAAGTAGGGAGGCCAGAAAGAGCCTCCTTCAGGGCTTGACATTAAACAAAATGTCAGGAGATATACTGCTATCTGGGGCTGAGATTACTAGAGGAAACAGCAAGTGCAAATGCCCTGAGGCTAAAGCAAGCCTGGGGACAAGGCACAGGCAGGTAGCCATCTGCTAGAGTATCAGCTCCAAGGAGGACTACACAGCTCTGTCCTGAGGGAGATGAGAAACCACTGGGAGGTTTGGAACAGAGCATTTGTACTCTGATGCAGATCTCTGAATATATCCAACTAATATACAAACATAATCTACATGCTAACAAAGAGACATCAAGCTAATCTCGCACTTTTAAAAAAGAGTTACATTTTACATAGTTTAGTTAATTTCATTTCTTTCAAAATATAATTTCATTTGCCACTTAAACAGTTTTTTTCCCAAACAAATTCAATGTTTTGGGGTATTTTCAATATTTTCCATTTACATAAAAACCACTAGCCATTAGAATCCATTCTCATCGTTTCGAAAACAACCTACCTGGATCCCCATTTGCAGCTTCTCTGGCTTCTTTCCTAATTTCAATGTATTTTTTCTTTATTTCCATAGGAACCTATTAGGCAAAACAAACATAATTTAGAATGTTTTAGAATAGGGGCCACGCTTTTTCTGTTCTAGTAGCAATTTGGCAAAAAAAAAAAAAAAAAAAAAAAAGAATTTTTAACAAAACTTTCATCAAACTTAAAAGCACTTAAAAACACCCACAGAGACAGGTGAGCGTCCCTGAAGGAAAGCCTTCCCCACAGACTCCCCAGAACTGACCCAGTCAATTGCCCCCATCTTAGTCCTTATACAGCTCACTCACAGTGTGTGGCCACATGCCTAAACTACTAGTAGTTTTCACTTGATCTCTGAGCCTCAGTTTTCTCAACGATACAATTACAATATATAATAGCACCTTAAAACACTGTTATGAAGTGTGGAAGTAACACAGAGCACATATCCAGATGCTTAATAAACCTGTGTTATTGTTTTTTGTTTTTAGTCCTTTGAAAATGTGCCTAGAAAAAAATCCTAGTCTCGTTCCAAAATAGTAGTCAGGAAGCAACTATTTCCATGTAGTGGTGAACCACTAAAGCACGGCTGAGGTCAGCAGATGTGCAGGGAAGGTGCAGGCCATGGTGTACGAGCTCACCACTCTGCCCACCTTTCCATTTCCAAGGGGCCCTGAAGGCAGCAGCTACCACCTTCTCACCAAGTGCTAAGGCTGGCATGTCAATGTGAGCTTGACTAGAACCAAACTCGTCCCACTTGCCAGAGCAAGTCTTTCAGTTACACCCACAACTCCATCGTTATACTGCCACGTTGCTCACAGGGGGCCACGAGGTCATAGTTCACATCAGTATGGACCATGACTTCTCTGATTAAAGGAATTTACTCAGAAAATAACTTATTGGATATGACTCAACTGTCTTTCCTTCACAAGTCAAGAGAGATAGAAAAATTTTGTTGCAGTTGCTTGAGATTGTACCTCAAGCTGAAACTGCTGGTTTTTGTAGTCACCAGTTTTGTAGAAACTATATGGAAGTGCCAGTTTTTGTAGTTGAAAGCAGACTTGAATATTGGCAATTCAACATGTTCAATATAACATATTTTTTTTCTATGAGTGCCTGATATGTTTTTATGCTTTGTTTTGTTTTTAAGTTGGGGGTCTCACTGTTGCCCAGTGAGAACAGTGAGCCTCCTGGGCTCAGGCAATACTTCCATCTCAGCCTACTGAGCAGCTGGGACTACAGGCACATGTCACCATGCCTGGCTAATTTTTTTTTGAAAGATTTTATGTAAAGATGAGGTCTTACTCTGTTGCCTAGGCTGGTCTCAAACTTCTGCTCAAGCCATCATCCAGCTTTGACCTTCCAAAGTGTTGGGATACAGATGTGAGCCACCACGCTTGCACTTGATAAGTTTTTTTAAACTTAGAAAGAACATTAAAATGTTCACTCACCTCAACTTCTACAGGAAATGTATAGCAGCGCTTCAGATTTATCAGATTTTCAAAAATAAGCAAGTTCTGTAAATCCAAAGAATCATATACAAACATCTGAATGAGGGGGTGGCAGTAGTGGGACCCTGCCAGGGAGGGCACATAACATCAATAAGGGTCTCCACACTTTACCCATACGAGGACAACTTACATACCTACCCTGAATTGTACCCCACATCTCTAAGATAAAAAATAAAATAAAAGATATATCTGAATGATGGAGAGCCTTATAACTGATACTACTAGAGAATTAATGCTACTTAGTAACTAATGAAGAAGCACTCCAGTTTTAAAATATATCTATGCAGAACCAAAAAAACCCACACATTTAATATTGTAAGAAGGTGCAAATGATGACATAACTTTAATTAACATAATCTAGCTTTTGAACATCTACAGGGACAATAGTGCACACCTCAGGAGAGGCCTACCTTTTCTGGTTTTTCACTAAATAGAAAACCTTGATAAAATTTTAACTCGTTGAAAACACAGCAGATGACAGCCATGGCACAGTTGTATGCTGCACAATGGTAAAGTCTTCTCCTCTCCAACAGCTGACTCTCCCCTGCCATGTTCTCGGTAAATGCATCATGGCACAGTCTGCAAGAGGAGATCCAGATTACAAACCATTGCACATGACACAGAAATTGCTAGTCAAGTCCAGCAATGTGCAACAGGATCTATGCAGCTCAGCCTTTCTTAAGTGTCAACTTCAGTCCTGGCATAGAACTGGGCGCTAGGAATATGAGTGAGCATATCACTGACTCATGACAAAGGTGGGATACATGGATTGTACCACATGGTGGTCAATGCAGCAAGTCTAAGGAGCCCCGTGTAAGGAGCTAACAAAGGATTTAAGAGAAACAATCTGAGCTGAGTTTTGAAATATAAGCTGAGAAAGAAATGTGCTTGGGCATTATGAGCAGAAAGAATAGTGTCATTTTGGACAAGGGATAAACCTGGTAGCATGTCAGAAGGAGGCCGGCAGTGAGGGAAAGGAACAAGATGTATCCTTAGGAGGGCTCATCCACTGTGGATGTCAGCCTACAGGACAGGGTTGCAGGTTTTGCATGGCAATTTAGTAGTTGTGTGACGATCTGGCTTGCAAAGTTGGAAACATTTACTATCTGGCTGTTTAAAGAAAAAGTTTGCCAATGCCTCCTCCTGAAGAGCAGGTGCCATTGAAGGGTCTTAGGCAGGGAAATGAAACAACCAGGCTTATACTCTAGCTATACATATGATAATTATAATAGTGGGAACAGAGAGAAGGCTAGAACAGTTACAAAGCAGATGACTGCAATGGCTCATCACAGACGTTCAGATACTAAAACAGGGCCAGCCGTAAAGTGGAATGGGAACAAGGGCACGGGCTTCAGGAAGACTGAAAAAAAGTGACAGCAGCCAGATAGATCTGGTGACCAACAGGGTATCCGTGGAGGTTGGAGACACGAAGACGAAGGAGAACAAAATACAACTCTCAGGTCCCCTGTCCGTGCAAACAACTGGACAGTGACACCATTCACAGCGGGGGTAAGAGAAGCACCAGGTGAGAGGACGGTAATAATGAGCTTGCTTGGAGACGCAAAATGAGACACAACGAAGTCTGTGTGCAATATTTACGAGGAGAAAAACTTCATTGGGAGACTAGTTTTAGGCCAGGTGCAGTGGCTCACACCTGCAATCCCAGAACTTTAGGAGGCCAAGGTTTAAGGACTGCTTGAGTCCAGTTCAAGAACAGCATAGGCAACACAGCAAGATCTTGTCTCCACCAAAAAAACCAAAACAGTTAGTTGGACATGAGGGTGCATGATTGGTCACAACTGCTTGGGAGGCTGAGGGGGGAGGACTGCCTAATCCCAGAAGGTCGAGGCTGCAGCGAGTCATGATTGAGCCATTGTACTCTACCCTTGGTGACAGAATGAGACCCCAATTCAAAAAAAAAAAAAAAGCTGAGCTCAGTGGCTCAGCCTATAATCCCAGTACTTTGGGAGGCCAAGGTGAGTGGACTGCCTGAGCCCGGGCAACTTGGAGAGACCTCATCTCTACAATGAATCAAAAATTAGCCAGGCATGGTAGCGCACGCCTGTAGTTCCAGCTACTTTCAAGGCTGAGGCAGAAGCATTGCCTGAGCCCAGCAGGTCGATGCTGGGGCGGCTGTGAGTGTGCCACTGCATTCCAGCCTGGGTGACGGAGTGAGACTCCAACTCAAAAAAAAAGAGAGAAGTTTTAGAAAAGATGTATTTGGTAACTTTGTGTTTTATAGAATGTTTGTTAAAAAATATTTATCAACCCACCTGGGCAACTTGGTGAGACCTCATCTCTACAATAAATCAAAAAAATCAGCCGGGTATGGTAGTGTGTGCCTGTAGTTCTAGCTACTTGGAAGGCTGAGGCGAAGGGTCGCCGGAGCCCACCAGGTCAAGGTTGCGGTGGCTGGGAGCAGCCACTGCACTCCAGTCTGGGCGACAGAGTGAGACTCCAACTCAAAAAAAAAAAAATAATAATAATATTTACCACTCCATTAATTTCAAATGATAGAAAAAATAAAATACCCTAAATCCCTTCTTATTGTAAATCATAGCATCAAGCATATATCAAGCTATTAAGGGAGGAAAATGGCAGGAAAAAACATTTTTAAAAAAATGTTTTATTATTATTTTTTGAGTTGGAGTCTCACTCTATTGCCTAGGCTTGAGTACAGTAGCATGCTCATGGCTGTCGCGATCTCAACCTGCTGGGCTCCGGCAAACCTTCTACCTCAGCCTTCCAAGTATCTGAAACTGTAGGCACATGCCAACATGCCTGGCTAATTTTTTTAATTTATTGTAGAGATGAGGTCTTGTCAAGTTGCCCAGGCTGGTTTCAAACCCCTGAGCTCAGGCAATTCTTTTGCCTCTGCCTCCCAAAGTGCTAGAATTACAGGCATGAGCCACTGTGCCCAGCCAAAAGTTTTATTCTTTGCAAAAGATGAGCACAGGATAAAGCATGTTATTCAATAATACACTAAATTTAAGTCCAGCAAGTAGCTTGTACATAAGAAAACCATAGAAGTATTTAAGTAAAACAAACGTTTTTCACATTATAAACCATGCACAGAAATATATGCACCCCAAACATTAACAGATCAATAGAGTCCAAAATCAAGCAAAATCTTACTTAATCAGAGTCTTTGTGAGTTCATTTCCTTCTGTAACACACGAGCCATGGAAAAGCTGATTAATTTTAGATTCCTTAGAGTGTACATCGTCTTTGGGAAGACGAGAATACATCACATCCAGCATCTTATAATAGCTCATCTTCTTGGTGATTTGAGTATCAAAGGTAGATTCACTTAGCTTAGAAAGGCAACACATAATTATCCTTGGTTTATCAAACATGAGAAACATATTACTGAATCTATCCAATTAAATATTTGCTGTCCTTTAGATAGAAATAATTTTAACAGTCAAAAATGCTAAATCACTTCAACAAGACAGCATGAAGTTGTCCAGGGTTAAAAACACATATGTAAGCACTGACGTATTAGACTGGGTAAAGTAGAACATAACACTCACTGCCAAATAGTAAGCCCAAAACAATGTTTACCCAAAATCTTACTGAAGACATGGAAACAGCAGGAAAAGTTCAACATATTAAAACACAAAATTTTCACCTATTTTGAATTCTGCAATAATAAATGTGTCATTTGAGTATTCATGATATTTCCCAAAAGGATTTGAGGGAGGCTGAATGATACCCTCGCACTTATCCCACAAAAGAGATCTGAAAGATGCCCCAAACCCTGAAACCTGTGAATGTAACCTCCTTAGGGAGCAAAAAAAAAGTAGGCCTTGGCAGATGCAATTTACGTGAGGAGCTTAAGGTGAGATTATTTATGGAATTGTTCAGTTGCATGAGACGAAATCACATGCAACCTTATACGAGGAATGTGGCAGAAGACCAGAGACAGGAAAAGGCAGTATGACAAAGGCGGAGGCCGAAGCATCCTTTCTGGACGTTCTGTACACACTTATACAAGCCAAGCAACGCTGGCAGCTACCAGAAGCTAGAAGAGGCCAGGAGCAGCGTTTCCCAAGTCCTGAGTGAGCATGGCCCTGGCAACACTGTGATTTTGGACTTCTGGCCTCTGGAACTGTGCGAGAATAAATTTCTGTTGTTCTAAGCCACAAAGTCACAGCACCCCCTGAAAACTAACGCAGATCCCACACAGCCACAGGACCAAAATGTAGAGAAAGTGCTCCGTGAGGAACAAGAACCACACAAGTGACCACACAGCAGTTTCTCAGACACTGGTTGGGGGGCTGCTCTTATTCACATTTAGCTTATGAAGGTGTATGATACCTTTGTAAACCTGGACTTCAACACATCCATGGCAGCTACCACGATTCTGCTAAAGAATTCTCTCAAAGCATCCAGGCTACAGTGACACAGCAGGGTGAGGAGACAGCGATCTACAATGGCTTGGCGAGTGACACTTGAGAGTGGGTCGTCCTTCCTAAACATTCCATATACACTTTCCAGAAGGCCCAGCTGTGCAACCCATGATCCTCTAAGAAAAAAAAAGAGAAAAACACATGGATATTCATGCTTTTAACAAATATTTTGGGTACTTGCTTCATAACCGGCAAAGTAAAACCAATGATTATAAATTACAAACATTATTTTAAGGATTATGCATTTACAAAACCCACGAAATACAAAAAGCATTCATACACGAACCATACTGTTTTATTCATTCCCACAAATCTTCAAATCAAATTTAGGCATCAGGAAGAAGAATGTTTTCATTTACTTTCAAATCTGGTCCTGCTTGAAGAACACTGGAAGAGTCTGAGGCCTAAAGATGGTCACATTTCCAGGATATGAAAATGATGTGACTTATTATTTTAATATTCTAGTCTCTTCCAAGCAATGAACTACCATTCCTATTTCCTATACAGAGACACACCAATCCATCAGGCCTTTTGTTTTCTCATCTGAAAAATGACATATTTGAATGATCATCTGTAAAGTTTTGTCTATAAATCTATAAACTGAGAATGCAGAGTTTCCTTACCTACGAAAATTGGAAGGTTAGGACTAAACGGTCATTAAAATTCTGACACTGTGAAGTTAGATATTAACCAGGGCAAAAAAAATTAGACTCAGAAGGTAGCTCAGTCATAAAATGTTGAGACTGTAGGATCCTACCAGATGCTACACAGTTTCCATCCTTAAAACATTAAACCCCTCCTTAAAAATCTAAGAGAAAAGAAAAAAAAGAGAGCAAAGATCTAATTTTAAAAGCAGGCCAAGAGATGGTTCCCCAAAAAATGAATGCAAATATAAACATTAAATACATGAAAATATTCTTTTTCATTAGTAATAAAATAAAAACAAAGCAACAATGAGAGACCCTATCTCGCCTATAAAACTGGAAAAAATTCAAATGTTCGACAATGTTGGCAAGACAGTGGTGAAGTGCACAACGCTTGTACCCTGCTGGAAGAAGTGCAAACAATACAGTCCAAAAAAAAGGGATGTGGAGATATCTGGCAAATTACAAATGCAGGTGCCTTTGCACCTGCATTTTAGGAATCTATCCCAAAGATATACTGTCAAAATACAAAACGATATAAACACATGGCTAGTCTCTGTGGCATTATTCTTAACAGCAAACGATTAAACCCAAAACTCCATCAGGAGGCGGCTACTTGAAAATACTATGACACTTGCAAGCAATGAAGGATTATACACCTGGTTTAAAAAAAAATAAGAATGAGGAAGATCTCTATGTATTGATATGGAGTGACCTATAGGACAAGGGTTCCCAACCCCTGGGCCAGGGACTGGGACTGGTCTGTGATCTGTTAGGAACTGGGCTGCACAGAGGAGGTACGCAGCAGTCAGTGGGCAAAGCATCATCTGTATTTACAGCCACCCCCCATCACTCGCATTACCACCTGAACTCCGCTTCAGTCCGATCAGCGGCAACATTAGAGTCTCAGAGAAGCTGAACCCCGCAGAGAACTGCGCATGTGAGGGATCCAGGCTACGCACTCCTTAATGCCCCATGATCTGAGGTTGAGCAGCGGCAGTGATGCTAAAGCTGGGGAGCAGCTGCAAACACGGATTAAGATTAGCAGAGGGGTCTGAGCAGAGACGAGAAACTAACTGCTTGCAGACTCCTATCAAAACCCTACCAGGGAGTGGTAAGTGACAATGAAGCTGCATCTGGTGGCAGCTTTTGTAGTGACATGAGCTGATGTACTTCAGTAGTACAACTGCATCTAGTGGCAGGCTTTAAGTCAGAATCCGACACATATTTTAGTCCTCCTACGGCCCACCCATTATTTTATTTACCTCTTCCATCCTCACCTGCTTCCTGCATTGGGCACTTGTCTCAGTCAGCTTTGATAAGCCCACAAACTAACCCTAGCCAAAATGAACTAAAAAAAGTTGTCACTGGAGAGCTTCTTTGAAAAGGGGGAAAAACTCTATGATGAGACAACAAAAGACTCTAAGACCACCAACAAAAAGAAAGTGGCATGTAAAAGAAAATACCAAGAGTTCTACTTAATAGTTTTATTGCAACAGATGATTCACATTCTACAAGCTTGCTTTGTATAAATATGTGGCGATCGGTTATCCAACAAAGTCATGAAACCTTCAAAACTGCCTCACCACATGGAGACCAAGTACTCTGCATTAAGAGGCAAGTTTGCAGAGTTTTTCAAAAGAAAAAAACATGAACACGAAAAACAGAGCAATTACTGAAGACCACCACTTCATCAAATGTGTCTGCACTAATAGTATAATTCTTTTTTTTTTTTTTTTTGAGTTGGAGTCTATGTTCCCCAGGCTGGAAAACAGTAGCATACTCACGGCTACCCCAGCGTCAATCTGCTGGGCTCTGGCGATCCTTCCACCTCAGCCTCCCAAGTAGCAGGACTACAAGATGCGCACTCCCACACCCGGCTAATTTTTTGATTTATTGTAGAGACAAGGTTTCACCATGTTGCCCAGGCTGGTCTCAAACCCGTGCGGGATCAGGCAATCCTCTCGCCTCGGCCTCCCAAAGTGCTGGGATTACAGGCTTGAGAAACTGTGCCCGGCGAGTATAATTCTTAGTGGCTAAGCGCAATGCTAAAGCTAAGAAGCCCTTTGCTGTTGATAGAGAGAAGCCCTTTGCTGTTGATAGAGAGCTGATCCTACCTACTGCTAAGGACATTTGTCATAAACTTTTAGGAGGTTGTTCAAAATGTGTCACATGTTCCTCTTTGAGCTAGCACCATACCTAGAACTATTGATGAAATAGCAGAGGCTATTAAGGCAAAACTGTTAGAGTGACAACAAGGCAACAATGCTTGTTCTTGTGTGATATATTTTTCAGAAGGATGTGCATAAAGATATGTTATGTGCACTTTTGTTCCCAGCCAACACCACAGCTCCAGAACTATTCAAGTCTCTGAATGATTACATATCAAGAAAACTGAATTGGTCATTTTGTGTTGATATATGAACAGATGGACCAGCCGCCATGACTAGAAGGCTTTCCGATTTCACTACTCAGGTCAAAAAGCTTGCTTCTGAATGTGAGTCTACACACTGCGTCATTCATAAAGAAATGCTGGCTAGCCAAAAAATGTTACCTGAACTTAGCAGTGCTTTGCAGGACTTTAAAGGACATGCCCTTTACTCAATATCTGTTCATGCAGCTCTGTGAGTAGATGGACACAGAGCATACACGTCTTCTCTTGTACACAGAAGCGAGATGGCTTTCTAAAGGCAGATCACTGGTCAGAGTTTCTGAGTTATGAGAGCCGCTCCAGGGATTTCCTTTAGAAAAACAGTCACCACGGGTCACAAAACTTGCTTACTTGTGTGACACATTCAACTTTCTCAACGAACTCAATCTGTCACTTCAGGGAAGAATAACAACTGTGTTCAAGTTGGCAGATAAAGTGACTGAATTCAAAGATAAGTTGGATTTATGGGGCAATGAGTGAACATTGGGATTTTTGTCATGTGTCAAACATTAGCAGAGATTTTGGAAGAGACTGACCCTGGGCCTTCTTTCTCCCAGCTGGTGCACGATCACCTATCTCAGCTTTCAGAAGAGTCTGAGCATTACTTCTCAACCACAAATGACCCACAAACTGGGAAGGAATAGATCCATGACCCATTTGTGAATAAGCCAGGGGAATCAACTTTGTCCATGCTAGAAGAGGATCAACTGCTTGAGATCACAAATGACGGTGGCCTTAAAAGTGTGTTTGAGACAATGTTCTTTAGTGTGAAGATTTAAAATTATTAATTCAATTCAGTTAACTGTCAAGAGCTACAGTCAGATTTCTTATTATTTAAGTCGGTTTTGGTAACTTGTGGCTTTCTAGGAATTTGTCCATTTTACTTAAGTTGCTGAATTTGTTGGCATAATGTTGCTCATAATATTCCCTTATAATCTTTTTATAATTTCTGTGCAGTCCGTCAGTGGTAACATCCTCTTTCATTCTTAATTTTTATGCACTGTTTTTTCCTTTATTTTTGGATAGCCTGGCTAATGGTTTCTCAATTTCATTTACTTCTGCAAAAATCAATTCTTGGTTTCATTGATTTCTCTCCACCATTTTTCTTGTTTCTATTTCATTAATTTTCACTCTAATATTTATTACTACATTATTTTGACTTGTTTTCAGTTCAGTGTTCTTTTTCTAAATTTTAAGGTAGAAAGTTCAGATTACTTATTTTGTATCTTTCATCTTTTCTTTTTTTTGAGTCAGAGTCTCACTTTGTCACCCAGGCTGGAGTGCAGTGGCATGCTCATGGCCATCACAGTCCTGACCTGCTAGGCTCAGGTGATCTTTCTGCCTCAGCCTTCCAAGTAGCTGGAACCACAGGTGCACACCACGAAACCTGGCTAACTTTTTGATGTATCATAGAGACAAGGTCTCGCCAAGTTCTTCAGGCTGGTCTCAAACCCCTGGACTCAGGAAATCTTCTCAACTTCACCTCCCAAAGTGCTGGGATTACAGGCATGAGCCACCACATTTGGCTTTCTTAGTTTCTATCACAGGCATTAAAAGATACATTTTGGTCGAGGTGAGGGGATTGCCTGAGCCCATGCGTTTGAGAACAGCCTGGGCAACTTGGTGAGACTTCATCTCTACAACAAATCAAAAAAATTTGGCAGGATTGGCAGTGCACGCCTATAGCTCTGGCTACTTGGAAGGCTGAGGCGGAAGGATCATCTGAGCCCAGCCGATGCTGGGGTGGGGTGGCCATAAGTATGCCACTGCACTCTAGCCTGGGCAACAGAGTGAGACTCCAACTCAAAAATAAATAAATAAATAAATTTCTCTTTGAGTCCTGCTTTAGCTCCATCTTATACGTTTGGATACACTTTATTCTTATTTTATTCAGATCAAAATACTACCTGACTTCCCTTGTTATTTTTTTCTCTGATCCAAGGGTTATTGAGAAATGTGTTATTTGTTATTTAGAAATATTTTCAGATTCTCCAAAATTTCCTTCTGCTGATTTCTAATTTACTTCATTGTGGTCAGAGAACATATTTCGTATGATTTCAGTCTTTTTAAATTTATTGAGACTTGTTTTATGGTTTATTATATTATCTGTCCTGAAGGATTCTCCATGTGTGCTTAAAAAGGATGTGTGTTCTGCTGCTGTGCAGAATGTTTTTTTGTTTTGTTTTGGTTTTTAGAGACAAGGTCTCCCTCAGTCGCCCACACAAGAGTACAGTGGCATAATCATAGCTCATTGTAACCTAGAACTTCTGGGCTCAAATGATCCTCTTATCTTAAACTCCCAAGTTGCTAGGACTAGAGGCATGTGCCACCACGCCCAACTAATTGTTTTTGTAGACACAGGATTTTGCTATGTTGGCCAGGCTGATCTTGAACTCCTGGCCTCAAGCAATCCTCCTGCCTCAGCCTCCTGGGATTATAAGCATAAGCCACAGTGCCCAGAATATTTTATATTTGGTTAATTATTTTTTTAAATATTTGATTATGCTTTTAAAAAAATGTAAATAAAAAGGAATAAACTATATCACGGATGAACCTAAAAACATTAAGCTAAATAAAGAAGCCAAACACAGATATATGATATGATTCCCTTTATATAAAACGTTCAGAAAAGGCAAATTTAAAAAAACAGATTAGTGGTCATCTGGAGCTGGGGCTGGGAATGGGAGTCAATTTAAATGGAACATAGGATCTTGGGGGGTGGGAGTAAAAATGTTCTACGGTGCTTACTGTACTACCTGGTAAAGTTTCTGAAAATAATTGAACTGTATGCTTAAAAGAAGAGTAAACGTTATGATGTATAAAATACAACTCAAAATAAACTTACACAGACATTTATAAATTCAACATTTATAAATGTCATTTTAAAAATTCACTGTAAGTTTACAACTAGAAGCGGCCATGGCATCAAGTCCCTGCTTTAAAAACAAATGATCAGCCAGGCGCCATGGCTTGTACCTGTATTCCCCCTACTTGGGAGGTTAGGCGAAGAGATTGCTGTAGCCCAAGAATCCAAGTGCAGCCAGAACAACATAGTGAGAACCCGTCTCAAAAAAAAATTAATTGTCAAATATGTCCCATCTTTCCCACTATATTTCTACTAAAATACTAAATTATATTTTAGGCAACCAAACAGTCCTAGGGATGAGGGCAATTTCCTCATCACAGTGTAATTCTGGCTACTAATTCAGTTAAAAGGAAAAAAAGAACCAGAAAAATGGCCATTTGCACTCCTAATGAAATAACTGAGCCGGGCTCAGTGGCTCAGCTGTCATCCCGTGCCTTTGGGAGGCTGAGGTGAGTGGATTGCCTGAGCCCGCAGGTTCGAGACCCGCTGGGCAACTTGGCGAGACCTCATCTCTACAATACGTCAAAAAATTAGCCGGGTGTGGTAGCGCACGCCTGTAGTTCTAGCTACTCGGAAGGCTGAGGTGGAAGGATTGCCAGAGCCCAGCAGGTCAAGCTGCAGTGGCTGGGAGTGTGCCACTGCCCTCCAGGCTAGGTGACAGAGTGAGACTCCAACTCAAAAAAAAAAAAAAAAGAAATAACTGATATAGGGCAACTACCATAAATGAATGCCAAACCATTACGAAAATGTTATGAGGCATATGGCTGGTCAATCCTAGCATCACTGAAAAGCAGGACCACCAGATATTACATGCCTCCTAATGTTATGAATATGAAGAATACAGAATCAACTATTAAGCGGTCCTGACAAACTTTGAACCTAAATCTGGACTTTTGTATATAACTTTCCGTTTACATGAAACAGGAGGCTAGAGGAACAAGTTAAATGAAAAGAACAGAAAAGAATCAGATAAATCCAGAATATAAGACACTGTCCAGGTTTCTTCAACACAAAAGAAAAATTAATAAAGAAGGGGACTGTACGAGATGAAGACAGACTTGAGAGACAAAATAGTAAAATGCCACGTATATTTAGATCAAAGTTCAAATAATCCAACAATGTAAGCACATTTGAGAAAATCTACTGAGGAAATCTGAATATGGAATTACTGATGATTTTATTTAGTTGATAATGGTATTATAGCTATCCAAAGAAACAGCAGTTTTTAGAGAGATATATAGAAAGATGTAGAGGTGAAATGACGTAGTGTCAGAGATTTGCTTTAAATTACAATAGCAGCAATAACTGCGGTAAAACAGAAAAAGATAAAAGATGGGGATGAAGCTAGGACAATGCTGATGTTTGTTTAACCTAGAGGCTCATTCACACTCTTCCTTTAGCTTTGAGAATGTTTGAAAACTATAATAATCAAAGTTTGTTTTAAAGAAAAAGAAAAAAAAAATTCAGTGATAAGAGTTGACTGCAACTGCCATTCAACTTTTTTTGGAGCAGAGAAGATAATTTCCCACAAAAATAAAATGTGAATGGTTCCTGGGACTCCAGACTAGAATGACTTACCTTCTAGCAATCCTCTTGAAAGTGGATTGAAATAATTCTTCCATAACATGGTTTTGCTCCCGACAAAGAATTTCTGTCATCAATTGCAACAATACAGGACTTTGAGATAATTCCAATGCATCTAGAAACTATAAAACATACACAATTATCATAAAAAATTTGTTGGATTTTTGTTTTAACGATTTTAGTAAAAATTATCCCTAAAGAGAAAAAAATACAACAGAATTTCACAGAGAATTAACAAATGTTAATATTTTTGTCAATTTTGCAAATATAGTGAGTGCCTAAAATATAATAATGTTCATCAAATATTTGAGTTTTGATTCCTTTTTAGGTTTTACAGATGTTGTTCTTCTCTTTATCCCCAGGTTCCGAGAGTCCATGATGACATACCTTACCGGGTCTTTAGCCATCGCTGTGCTAGCTAGAAACTCTTGGCCTTTCTTATATTGTAGAGATGCATGTTTTTCCACACCATCCTCACTGCAGAACAACATCCTAGGTCACTTCCCTAATACTCTCGTCTTGACTCTCCTATTCTCCCTCTCAATGACTGTTATATTTTCTAGAAATATCCTCAATTTTATCTTCAGAACAGAATAGGTAGGTTTTCATTTAAATTTTGCTGTTACATATTAAATTTCCAAGGGCACTTACTCGTCCCATTTCATTGACACAATACCTTTCTTCATCTCTGAAGCTATTCTGTGCAGTTCCTTTGCCGTGTTTTCCATCCCTTTGTGAACTCCTTTCCCTCTGAGCTCCTTTTTCCTGTTGGTTTGCATCTTTCTTATGTTGGAAGTTTTCCCCACATGTTAGATGATTATCTGTATTTCTATTTACATTCATGGATTTACATTAAGAGCAAGTACTAAAGACCTACTTAGAATCTTTGTGGCTACTAAAACCACTGGATGACAGATTGCTGGGGAACAGGATACTTACGTGACATGAACAAAGTGGTGTTACCCCACCCATTATTTGCTAATTGCAGAAAGAAAACACTATTTAACAGAGAGGGGAGGCAGTCACCACCTCAACTAGGCACTCAGGTCACAACAATGCCACGCCTGATGCTATTTGCCTCCAGCTGTGCCAGCGCTGCCTAGGTTAACCTGCATCTCATAACCAAGATCTAAACCCAACTGCCCGTGTAGAAGAAAGGCGAGGACGGAGGAACACGTTTTTAAAAATCTCAAGGAAACAATCAGGCAAACAGGGGACAATGCCAGAGAGAAGTTCTCTAGTTTCTTCTGAAAACTCAAGTCGTGGAACAAAAAAAAGGGATGGGGTATGAACTAGCTCTAGATTAAAAGAGTTTAGCGATATGACAATTCGATGCAATTGGTGATACACAGGAATATTTGGAGAAATCTGAATGTGGACTAGGCAACAGTGATATGAGAGGGTTATCAATTTTCTTAGGTATGGTAACAGCACTGTGCCTTATTCTTAGGACATGCATGCTTAACTATTTAGGATGAAGCATCATATGTTTGAAACTAACTTGCAAATGTCTTTCTCAACTGAAGCAAAAACAAAAGACATCATACACACATAAGGAAAAGGCAATCAGGACAAAAGTCGGCAACTGCTGAATGTAAGAGATGGTTATAGGAATGTTACTTCTACCATTCTTTCAACTCTTCCCTATGTTTGGCCAAAATTATATAAAAAGAATGAGAAGGAGAGAATCTCTGTGGATGAGCGTGCCTAGAAAACCGGCCTTTTCACGGAGCTGCTTGACCGCCTCACATGAGGAGGGGGTCCTGTGGGGAAGAGACCCAGAAAGAGCAGGGAGAAAGCTGTGATGCCTGGACGACACACAGCAGCACTTCCCCTGCAAGCACAACCCAGTGGAGAAAGCCTGACCTGCCTCGCCCTGGAATGATCGAGTCACAATGAAGGTAAGTGGTGGAACTGGCTGCACCGAACGGTCACATACAGAACTTACACTCAGTCACATTCACATCATATGCTAGCTCCAGCTCAGCATTATTGTAGTGTTCTTCAATCATCTGGTTCTCAACATCTCTTCCTTGTTTTACTTATAAACTTCTTGAAAATAAAGACAGTGTCTTAACCAAACACGAGTTTGGGTATTTGGACATCAGGCCAGTGCTCAGCATGCCATGAGTATGGCAGACCAATGCCACACCTAAAAAGTGATTCTCTGATATTTATTTAGTGGCCAAACTCCTAAATTTTAGTTGAGTACACAGTCATCCAGAATGAATGACATTCACAGTCTCTCTGCGGCTGCACGGTGAATGGTGAATGGCATATAGCAGAGATAATCCCATGTGACTTCTGCGTAGAGCCTTCAGAGGAAGGGATATGTTCTCTACTACCCTTTCCCACCTCTTGCGGGCTAGAAGGAAATTAGATGGTAGGAGCTGGAGCTGAGGAGCTCAAGAGCCATCTAGTTCATAATTGTGTGATAAAACTTGTTTTAAGTGTAGGTTGAAAATTATTTGGAATGTATATTGAAACTTGTTTTTAAAACTCAGATGTATGTTTGCTTTCCCGCCCAAGCCCAGTAGTATACTTTTGGTAAACAAGTTCACATACCAAAAGAAAACCACGGAGTCACGGTGCAGACCCTCTGGCCCCATTTCCTGCTCCATTCCCCTAGTAATCTCACATTCCAGATGTCCCAACTGGTTCCACCCAGCCCGCCTGACCATTGATGGTCAGCCGCGGTCAGCCATGACCCGCGACCATACAAACCAACCAATTCCAAACGCCCCCGTACCCAGTAGGAGAAATTACCCAATCATGTGCGAACAAGTTTAAAGTTCTTTCCCCTCCCTTGTAACTGTGTATATAAGCTGCTTGCTGCGCTGGGTCGGGGCTCTCGTTCCTGTACTGCTGCGCCGGTCATGGACGTGAGCCCAGACTCAAGCCTGAATAAAGACCCTCGTGTGATTTTCACTGGAGCTGGCTCTTTGGTGGTCTCTCGGATTCAGGATTCAGGTACAACAGAGCAGTGACACTGGATGACACAAATGCTGTGTGAGCAAAAAGATAAAAGAAATCTGCAGAGCAGCCCGAGGGGGCCAATCTAAAAGAGACTTGAGCAAAAGAGAACAATAATCTACCACCTTGTTTAAACCACTAGGAAAGACCTTCAGCTGTATACCAAATTCAGGTTGAGCATGCCTAATCCAAAAAACTGAAATCTAGGCCAGATGCAATGGCTCATGTCTGTAAATCTTAGCACTTTGGGAGCAAGACTACTTGCTGTCAGGAGTTAGGACTCACCTCCACAAAAAAATGTCTTAAAAAATCTGAAATCCAAAATCCCAAACTCTTTGAGCATTAACATACCACATGATAACTGAGATAGTGTGGCAGGATGCGGAAAATGCTCAAATATATTTCTTGTACGATTGAGCGAATAAACACAGAAACATGTAGCTGGTTTAGGATCAGCAGTTGGCCTCATGGCAATCACTAGCCCAGGGCAGGAAAGGAGTTGATAGCAGTTAAAGGTATTTCCTTTTGAAAGGCAAGTTGCAACTTTAAAGACCTGCCCAGGCCCAGGCAGGTTTTGTTTAAGAGAGGCCAAATGGCCCAGAGACTGGCTATTTCACGGAAATGGAAAAGAGTCTTATCTAAAACCCCCCTTCTGAAGTTGACAGTTTACAAGCCTGCAGTTCCTGGAAACCATTTGTTCTTTGAAAAATCTGATTTTGCTGAGTACAACCTTGTAAGATTCCACAGGAAGTATGTAATCAGTCAACACGACCCCCCTCCCTTACCTAAACGAGAGTATAAGACCCCACGTCTCCTGTTCTGGGGTGCTCAAGCTCGATTTGAATGCATGCAATTCTCGGCCCGCTGTGCTAGCCAGCGTATAGGAAGTGCTACTTCCTATAATAGTCTCAGTGTCACGATCTCTCTATTTTTCCTGCTACATTTCTGGTGTGTTGGCCGGGAAATGGAGATTGGAGACGGTGTGTTCCACTTCCTTTGTCATCAAGGTACGACCTCCAGGGCAACGAGAAAGGCAATCTCGCCTGCCGCGCAACGAACCGCAACGAACCTTTTGATCCGTAGGAGGGAAGCCCCTCCCGGCGCACTGAAGCTCGGACCACGAAAGCACAACAGGACCCAAGAGGCGAAGAACCGGCACAAGGACGACCGCCTGACGGAAAGGACAGAAGGCCCACCCGAGGGAAAGGGTAGGAATAAAGGCCTTTGCATAGACCTGCCAAGGGATGGCAGAAGGGGAGCTTGATCACCTCGCGGAGCCTGCTAGTAATCTCCAGCCTGAAGGAAAGGGCTGGAAGGCAGTGGAAGGAAACACTGTCTGAAGATGAACCCGTAGATTCCTGGGATTAGGACAGAGAGTTGACAAATGTGCTGTGTGCTTGTGTGTGAATGAGACGGACGGCGGAAGGGCTCCGCATAGTCAGTCTGCGTTGGGGGTGTAGCAACCTACCAGTTGCTAAGAGGTGTCTGAGACATCTTCGTGAAGAGCATGACTGGAGGGGGACAAAGCGGATGTTTCCCATCCCCCTCATTCTCCTATTTGTGTGTGTCTGTCACTTTAAATCTGCTGAAAAGCTGGTTGAGTTACTATGCTTTGTTTGATGGGACATGTGGTCTTTTTAAAAACTTGCTTGGCGCATATTTCTTGATGTCATTCATGTCTCCCTTTATTTGTGTGGTGTTTTCTCCCAACCCGTTGGCGCTGTTAAAATTTCTGCCTTTTGTTGTTAAGGTTGTAGAAAAATTGCCTGTTGCATATAAGAAGTGTTACCGGTTATCTTAAATTCTTTCCGGGGACCACATCCCCTCCCTTCCTTAGCCTGTGTTCTCCTTGTAAATTCTGAAGGGGCTCATTCTAATCCATCTGTAAAGAAACGGAGAAATGTCTCCTATATGCTACTTAGCCTTTTGTTAACTCAGTGTAAGTTAATGCTAGCCTTGGAGCTAATCTTTCTCTGGCAACTAAGGGAATGAACAGGCTGTTCTCGTTTTCAAATGCTAAAAGCCAGGTTAGTTGAAGTAAGTCCGTTTCTAAAGGTTTAGGCCTTGCCTCAACTGCTGATCAACTGCTTGTCCCTGTAAAACTGGGGAAGTCTCTCAGAGTCTTGTAATGTATGCTGAGTCCCTACTT